GAATCCATTTGCCGGCAGAACCAGCGGCAGCGACGCCGACGCCGACTGCGACGGCGACTGCGACAGCAGCCTCAACAGGCTGAAATACTTTTCATCCCTTTTGGCGTACCGTCACCGCGCCCAAGTTGCCATAGATACCAAAGTGGGGAGGCCGCCAGTCCACAGGCCAGCCCACGAGCCACCCACTTGCCACCCACAAGCCACCCACTTACACCCCCTTCTCGGGACACCGGAAAGTGACGTCGACGGCGGCTGAGGCAGCGGCGGACCAGCGTTACCTAGACTTGCTGCCCGATAAATTATCAAACTTCATAACAGTCACAGTCTGACTGCCAACGGTTCTGGTTCCGCTCCTCCAGCCCGAGGCTAGAAACTAATCAAAAATAAAGCAAAGTATGCCTCCAATCGAAGTCTATAGCGGTAGCCCCTAGTTGATATTATTATTAACCAAAGTTTGAGTGTCTGATAACGCACAACGTGGCGTATACGCAACGCCGGCTGAACTGCTGCTGCTGTTTCTGCTGCCATATGGAGCTGCTTTCGGAGGTGGTGGTGCTGTTACCCAAACGAAACGAACTGGAAGCCGGCTTCGCCGAAATGGAGGCCACCATATGGTCGGGTAAGTAGATAGTACTCACGTTATTGCCACCGCTTTTATCGTATTAAATATTAAATGTGAGCCCGCTTATCGCACCTCCGAAGGAAGCGGAAGTGAGTTGGTAGATTCGTTGGTTGCCTGCCTGTAGAAAAAACTGGTAAAACAAAAAAGAAAAGCCAACATATGGCAGCTGAATTTATGACACGCACACACACACACACTGGAAAAGCGAAAGCCAGAACCCGAAAAGCCAAACAAATCAAGCTGCAAATTGAATTGCACCGAAACCCGGCCACAAGCCATTTGACATGTCCTTCTCCGTCCTGCTGCTCCTTGTCTATCTAATGATTGATCATGGTGATATATCGCCGACTGGCAGTGCTAACACCTAGACGTCAACTTTAATTAATGTCCCTCGGGCGGAGCGGTTGGGTTCGGTTCTGCTGTTCCCAGCTAGTTTCTGCTGCCCAGGATTGCTTGGATGCCTTGTCCCTGACATGGGTTTCGCTCGAATTTAATTTCGTTTAAATTAAAAACCCCCCCGGCAAACACAGAGGGTGTTGGCTCGGTGACAGATAAGCCATAAACAAGGAATTGAAACCCAACACCTGTTGATAACCCATACGGGCCTCGTCGGCCTCATTAATTGCGCTAAGCAAACAGGCAAACGAAGGCAATGAATGAATGCAGGAGGTTCGTGATGAGCGGGGGAGAGAGGAGGGAAACCCGAAAGGAAGGCCAGAGCAACTGGGTGCAGCCATGGCCGAGTGCGAGTCTGTTTTCCCCGGGCTGGCTGGAAAATTTATGGCCAGCTCATATGCAGCCGGATGGCGAGATGGCGGGCAAGGACAGAGGAGTACAGAGTGTCTGGCGGTTGCAAGGAGCCCAGAACTGCACCAGATATTGACTTTTTATGCTGACTGCAGGGCAATAAAAAGAGGGAAATTATTTACCTCTCGGCTTATGCTACAGACAGCAAACACCACCCAATCACCCAGGCAGTTAGGCAGCCAGGCATCCAGTCAACCAGGCACACATTCTGCCAACCAAGAGTCGAATCTAATCCCGAATTACAGCTTGGCTTTAATGGCCTCGAATTTAAATATTTGAGTTCGGATGAGGGCGATAAAAGGGGCGTAATTCGTAATTGAACTGATGGTAAGTGATAGAAATCGCTGCTACGTGCTTAGAGTTTTACCTAAATCTTCTTATGGTATACAGAATACAAAACCCCTGAAAGAAAATACAATAAAATTCCATTAAGCGTCCAGCTCACCGCGTAATAATTCCCCTGAATCGCCACACCAATTAGCCACGAGTTCAGCCGCAATCTTTTCACAACTTTTCCCTCGACAGCAGGACATTTATTTCCATACAGCGATGACTTTTGGTCCTGCGAGCTGACAACGTTGCGTATGCTTAATCCGGCTTAATCCCTCCGCCAGGCGAAGTAAGTAAGCTGCTCTGCGTAAGTATCCGGCCAAGATTATGGCTTATAAATACATAAATGCGAGTATATACACCCCCATATTATATATAGCAATATCAATATCTATAAAGCCATCGATAGTTACTTTTCAACTTTCAATGACATGTGAAAACAGCGAAATTGTTTTTGAAAAGGCAAAGCGAAGCTCTCAGCCAGCGGAACATTAAATGCCTTTAAGTGCCAATTAATGTTTGACTTACACGGGTGGTGGCGATGGTTGGCTGACCGAAACATGAGCACACCATTTGCCACTCCCCGACTGGCTGCCCGCATCCTTGTTGTACTCTCCTTTTCGTCCTTTTCCTGGGTAATGTCCCAGCTGCCGGACTTATGACAAAAGTGTGTGCTGCTATATAGTACATCGCCTGCGGCTCTCAACTCGTATTGTTAGCACATACTTATCGTAACTTTGGCAGCGCACAGCGAGACTTTTAAACATCAATTATATTTACGTATCGGAGCGTATTAATGCCGACCTCCATCCTATGAATACTCTTATATAGTCGTCTATGGAATATATATCCCGCCTGCTCTTGGTTTTGGGGAACCAAGGAACCAGGGGCTGCATGGCCTCACCTGATAAGCCAACTCATCACTACTGGCCAGCTTCATTTATGACTGCTGGAACTAATTAAACAAAGCCGCCTCAGTCAGTCCTTTCACGAGCGGATTTTCCTCCTTTCGGGCGCCCAATTTGCTTACACTTGTTTCGCCCTGAGCTCCTCAGCTCGGTTTCAGTTGCACCGACATCGCCCGTAATTAAAAAGGAGTCGAGCTGGAAGAACAAACTCTTGATTAAGTGGGTGCAAAGTGTCAACAAATTATTCATTTACTCTGTAGTTGCTGCACCCGAAAAAAATATAAAAAAGAAGCAAGAAACGCAACAAAAAAATCATCACCAAGTCGCAACAAAAAGTGCGAAAGATAACAGTGCAAGGAGGAAGGATTGGTTGGATGGGTGTGTGTGGGTTGTGGAAAAAAGTGGGCGAGTCTGGGGACAAGCTGAATGCTGAATGTTGAATGGAGTTTTAATTAACAAAACCCCCGTGACGAAGCCCCAGACAAAGCTTTAAACTTAATCCCCTTTACTGTCTGTGCTGTGATTTCAATTTGCCATTAAAAAATGCACACACAAATGGCGAATGTCGAATCCTCATGGCTTTTATGCGGCTATAACGTGTCCCGCCCTCTAAAAAACTTGAGTGGAATTCCTTCTATGGGGCAATCAAAGGGGACAACTATCGACACGGGCAAATATTTTAAGAAACGATCAGAAATCCACCCTTGACATGCCTCTCCCCATATATAGCATACGCATTTTTCAAAACCCCAGCCCGCATCCGGAATCCCAACCAAACAAAATCAAAGTTCCTTTCTTTCCTCTTTTCCATACTTTGTTTACTTTTGCAATATTTTCTCTTCACTTTTTTTTTTTTTTGCCCCCACTCGCTGTTTTTGTTGTTTGGGGCGCTGTTGTTGTTGGGGGCAGCAATTTTTGTTTGCATAAATAAATTTGGAATGAAATCATGTGTCACATTAGCAGCGGAATCTATGCGCTGCTGTTTCTATTGGGTTTTTCCAATATTTTCCCCATCCCATCCCCATATATTGTAGCATATAGCACATTTGATTAGCATGAGTGTGGTGCCTATTTCGGTGGGTGGTGGCCAGTGGCTAATGTCGTGTCCAGTGGGTAAATTTGATTACAAATCAAATATAGAAATGCGCAAAATGCATTTCCCGTGTTATTTGCCCGCACAGCGGCTGTTATTTCATTTTTTCCAGCAGCTGCTGGATGCCAGGACAACGCTTAATTAAGTTCAGCAAATGATTTTTCAATTAACACTGCCGGCGAGGCAAAAGAAATGAAAGCGGAATGAAAATATTTATATTTACACAACAGGGACACTGGCAAGAATAAGGCGGTTGCCTGCGTCCTCTCCACTTGCACTCCACTCCTTCTGTAGGGAGGAGGCACCCCGAGGGCGGGGGGCGTGGCAGGATGGGCGGAGGGTGGAGGGGGATCGGAACGGAGCGGAAACGGATGCGTCGCTGTCAATGTTGGCACAAATTGTTTGTCACGCAGTGCAAATACTTCGTGCTGTTGCTCTGGTATGCGGTATTATGCGCGATTTATTTCTCTGTCTGTGTGGCAGGACGAAAACAACAGCAGCAGCAGCAGCAACAGGACGAACAGCAAGAGCAACAGCAACACCACGAGCAACAGCAACACAACAAGGAGCAACACGAAGACAGCAGCAACATCTGAGAACCAATGCCCCGCAGCAATTCCAGCACACAGCGAATTTGATATTTGTTGATTTTTCCGTTTTCCTACGCATTTGAACTCCACCCCGCATCCCCCATCCCCGCCCCTGGAAAATTTCGCAACACAATTAAAGGGAGAAAAATGTGTAACATTAAACTTAAATGGTGAATAATGTTATAAGCTTCTAGCGAAATCTGTCAGCTTATTAACTCAACTTTACCTGGCTGCTAACGAAAAAAAAAAAGGAGAACGAAAACCTTTCCGCGCGGAACTTTTAATGCATTTTTATGAAGTTTTAGTACCGTGCTGCATGGACGGGACTTAATTTTATTTACATTTTGCATTTTGCGCTCTAAAGTTGCCAAAGTAGTTGATTGGCTTTGCCTGCCACCAAATTGCAAAATAAATGCCGAGACGACAGGGGGCAGGGGTGTTCGAGGTGGCAAGAACGATTGCGAAACAAGCTAATTTCATTGAAAGTGATGCTCGTTTGTGGCCTAGTGGGTGGTCCATTGTGCCCCCTCTTCTGCTGCAGTTGCAACAAAGGCAAAAAACAAACACCCAAACACCCAACAAGCCAGCCATCCAACTATCCAACCATCCAACCATCGAACCAACCAGCCAACAAACCAGCCAACCAGCGATGACGGCAAGTTTGTGTAATGTAATTAATTAATTACGGTGAAACAACGTAGTTACATGTACAGTTATGGAAGGATGGCAGGATGGAAAGTGGTGGGACATCGGCAACATCCTTGCCGCCACAGGACAGCGATATTCCTTCGGTTTTATTAGCCTGCGGAGGGGAGAACCCTTTCACCTCCTCTCTCCATTTGTTGCGTCCCCCGTTGAAAACATTCCACCACGCATAGTTTCGTGTTTGCCCGGTAACTTAATTACAAATTATAGTGCAATTAATTCTGCGGCTTGGCATTATTAGGCGCATCGGGTGCGTAACACAAAACCTGGAAGACACCTTCGGTAAGTAGATGAAAATTAAATGGATTCCGCCGCAAAGTGACCGGATCCGATTACCGCCAGTGAGAGTGCCAGGATCTCGGTTATCCCGGCTATTCGCAGCGAGGATTACAGTGGCAGAAGCTATCTCCAATGGCCACGTGTATGCTCGTAGCTATAGCCTGATATCCAATGTTATTGCTTGAGAATACACGTAGTTCAGCGAGATTTGTTCAGCAATCAAGCGCGACACTACTGACAATAAAAACGGTGTTAACTGGTTCAACTAAAGGTAATCCCAAACAGCTGGGTAAAAATGTTACAATTTTCCCACAACTCCTTTTCTTTTACTAACTTCCCATTTAATAACTTTGCTGAAAACTAAGCTTTGATTTTTATTTTATTTAACTTCAGTTTCGAAAATATATCTGTCTTCCTAAAAAGAAGATAAATAAAACTTAATGTTTGTACATACCAAAAAATCTTTATTAAATGACTACAAATTGGTTAATCAAACATTAAACTATTTATAAAAATTCCATTTAAAATAATATAGAATGCAATGAATTTACACGCCTTTAAATCCTGTTTACATGTTGAAAAGCGATTGGTACTTAAGTTTCTCAAGCCTTTTTTCCTTGCGTACGTGAGCCAATTGCTGCAAGGTCAATTGATTTCCCATAGAGTGAATTGAAAGGTATTCAGAGAATTCGCAAAATACATTCCATCCATGTTGATTTCACTGCCATGCAAAATTATTTTCTCCATTAGCAATTTCCCGCGAGTAAAATAGCTGCTGAAAACTACAAAGGAGAATCTTAGCACAGGTATAATAATTTTTCTTTGAACTGTCAGTTGTAGTTATGAAGGTTTTAATTAAAATTTCGAAGGCCTTTTACAATAAAGAGCTTCTGTGGCAAATCAGTTAGTGTATGGTTAGTTTAGACCGGAGTCCTTATTTGGCCAAAGGCTCGAGGATGTGTTTGCCGAGAAAGTATAAATAACCAATTAAAATGTTGTGCTTGTAATCACAGCTGGAAAGTAGGCAACACTTTGTTTGACTTCTGATTAACAGCATCCTCGGGGTTTTCTCGAAAGGATACAGGGGGATGGGGTTGGGAAAGATACAGCCGCGGGGGTTGCTCTCATTTTCCCAACTGGGAATGGGAATGGGATTTGACAAGCCTTTTAAAACACACCCACACGCGGAGGAGCTTCTTATGTGTGTGTATGATTTGCATTAATGAGATGCAAATGATTTGTTTATTTTTTGTCTTTTTTTTCTTGCTGTCAGTTGCCAGCTTTCTTATGAAGGAGGCCCTTTATTGAAAAGTTCTCGACTGCTCCGGCTTCTGGCGGATGAAATGAGCAAATAATAAGAAAATATTGATAAAGATGTTAATCAAAGGAAGCGCACGTTGCTCATATAGGCAGTCTCTTACTGGCGACATAATAAATATGTATGTTTTCCCCCGGCCATCGGCATCCCCTGATGGAATCCCCCCTCCTCCTCCTCCGGGTGTTCCCATTATCCGTATCCTTGAATGGAATGCTCTGGCTGTCACGGCTGTCTGGCCCGGAATACCTCCACTCCGTCATCGTCGCCGCGATGTCCTCGACTCTCCTGTCCTCCGTCCTCTGGCTTCTGTCTTCCGTCTTCTACCTTCAGTCTCCTGTCTCAAGTCGCTCAAGTCGGGCACATACTCGTACGACAAAACACGACCCGCTGTTTATTATTGTAAGATACTTGGCTTGCTCACATCAGCGAACTGGAAGAAATGCGCCGTGACAGCACAAGTTGCCACGAGGAGTAGCAGGAGCAGCGGCAACATCGACAGCAGCAACATCAGCAGGAGCAACTTCAGCAGGAGCAACATCACCAGGAGCAGAAACAGCAGGAGCAGGAGCAGGAGGCGATTTGCATTGTTTTATTTACATATTTTTTGCGACAAACTTTCGGCGGTGCGGAAAGTGAAATACCAACGCTCATCAATGTTGATGGCACCGGACCGCTTGGCGGTAAATCGGGTATAGATTTTCGATCCTGGATTAAGCATCTTACTTTAAATCAATTTAGTAGAGCTTTAAGGTATTCGGCATTTAACAAGCTGAAAGATAGTTTAGCAACCATTCTTTAAGTCTTTAAAAATTATAGAAACAAAAGTCAGAAATAAATTAAATATTAATTATAAAATTTAATAAATTCACTGAAAAGTACCTAATGGTAATTTAATTCAGTGGTAATTGTTAAGCTAATGATTCAAATGAATTCAGCACTGCCTGGAACGCATTGAAATCCATATCCGTGAAATATCTGTCATATGGACCACCCCGAATTGGTTTTGCTCAGTTGGTTTAAAAAGCAAAAATATGCAAATCAAGCCTCAACTTTTAACGGAGCATAATTTGTTTGTGTTCCGTCAAATTAGATTGCCAACGAAGGCTATTAACATTTATGTAAATTACACAACCATTTTCGGATTCATTAGAGCCAGAACAACGTCCAGATGGAGTTGTTCACCCGCCACAATAACAAGTTGCACTCGATTTGTGTCGTATATATTTATACACATTTAGAAATAACATTTTAGCAATAGCAAATAGTCATAGCTACTAGTATTAGTTTAGTGTGTAAAGTTAAGAGTTATAAACCGTACTCGAACCTCGACTGCGACCTCCTTGCTTATTGATTAGTCCTAGAAACACACTCACTCGAATCAGATCTCGAATCGGATCAGAGTTACAATCAAATACCGTGTAAAAAGTGGGAGTACACTTAACAGAAAGCGAAAACAACGAAATACAAATTACAAAAAGAACATTCACAGATATTGTATCGACTCAATAGGCGGTCAATAGTGATTATTGCCAACTTTGTCAAACGCTCAACGCTGTTTATTCATGAATATACACAGTGTGTTCAGTGCGATGCCTTCATGGATCTTTAAATGATGTTGCGACAAACCAAATATGTATATATTATAGAATTGACAATGCTATGGTGTTCCATAAAGTTAAACAGTTCGGGGCAAACAGCAGAAGCAGAAGCAGCAGCGGTATTAGCTTGGTTGTCGGCCGGAAGGGCTTTCGGCTGTTTGTCCGTCCGGTTTGACAGACGACCGGTAAGGGGAAGGAAAAGGGGGAAGGGGAGGGGGAGGGGGAGGGGTTGGGTAGGTGGTGGTTCTACAGGGAGCCGGGTTAAAGGCAGCTCGAAAGTTAATTAAAAATGTTCAACGCATTTTTCTCAATAACCGGGCAAACAAAGATGGGCAAAAAGAGTTGAGTTTAAAAAGCGACTAGCTTGTGGTGTTTGGATTGTAGGTGTGTGTATAGTATGTATGTGTGTGTTGGTTTATTTTCCGTACATGTGTTGCGGCTTCTCACGTATTTGGCTAATTAAAAAGGCGTGCAACTTTATTAATATATATATGTATGTTTATCCTGACATTTTCCCCTGCAGGTGCAAGCAGGTCAACTACGCGATTTCGTTTCCTCTCCTCGTTTTTTTTTTTTTCAGTCGGAGCTCAAACACGTTCTCACACACGCGGCTCCCCCGCCCGGGATAACCATCTATGGCATCCATCCCATTCATCCGTCCGCACATCCATCCAAGCATCCTTCCTCCCCTTCCCTTCCACAGTCACACGCACACACACACACACTCGAATCGAAGCGGGGGCGTCGTGAGTCCTCGTGGTTGATCTCCGGACATAAGTACACCAGACAAATTATCTAAAATTTACTAGCTCTCTTTATGTATAACATCTTGTTATGTGGGTAGCTTTTTTTCGGGATTCAGTTTGGGTTTGGGTTTCGGTTCTGGATGGGTTGGGTTGGCTTTCGAAGGCTAGCCACTAATGCCCTGCTTATTCTGCTGATGGTTCTACTGCTGCTTCTACTGCTGTTGCTGCTGCTGCTGTTGTCACTTGGTTTGATGTATGTTGTGAAGTTTTCATTAGCTGCTGCTCCTGTGCCTTGTGGTTTGTGCCGGCATTGAGTTGGCAATTTGCTGTTGACGTTGGGCTGTCGCCTTCTATAAAATCAACTGTTTGCCTGTCATCCATCATTGGCCTGGCTGTTGCCCCTCCTGCTGCTGCTCCTCCTCCTCCTGTTGCTCCTACCTCTGTTGCTCCCGGCTCACAGGATTGTTTTGACGTGGCAGCTACTGATGTTGCTGCTGTCGCGGGCTCGTCCGGCTTGTTTTTCTGCCTCTCTTGCTGCTGCTGCTGGTCATTCATAATGCTGTGAGCTTGTAGTGGGCATCTTTGCTTTTCACCTGATGCCTCTGCTGCTGCTGTTGCTGCTGATGCTCCTACTCCTGCTGCCACTGCTGCGTATGCCCCCTCCGCTTTTAGCAGCTCTGGCAAATTATTTTCTAATTGCCTCGCCTTTGGCTGGCTCTGATGGACATGGACGTGGGTGCGGATCAGGGTTTCCAGCGGCCGTTGAGTGCCCTCTGAAGCGGGCGTTGCAGCAACAGTAGTTCCATCCAACGTATTTATAATATCCGCCGCAACGGAATTTAGATTTTCCAGCGTCTTGGACACGCCCTCCTCCTTCGTCTCCTCCTCCTCCATCTCCTCCTGCTTTCCGTCGAGTTGCTTTTCCTGTCCCGGTCGCTGGATCTCCAACTCCTGAACGGACTTTCCTTGAGCTGCTTCCGCTCCCGTTGCTGCTGCATCATTTATGCCCGATGTTGTCGGCTGTTTGCGTCCCTGATTTGTTTCGACATCTGAAATATGCAGGGAATTCGAGGGCAGAGTGAAAATAAAACAGGAAATGACAAGCGAAACATTTACAGTGAATATTTTCCTGCGAATTGAGAAATAATTTCATGCATATTACGATTATTGTATACAGACAGATGGACTGGCAGACAGACAGACCGACAGACGTTAAGAAGAGCTTTGGTTCGCCTGGCTATTGAATGTTCTCCGAAATTGAAGGCTCCTTGGATGCCTTTATCCCCTCCTCCATCCGCAGCCAATCCTCCACTGCTCTCGTTGGCATTTATTGCCACTGAATCTGTTATTTGCTTATTTGTATTGCTTGTTTGGTTGCTACCGACTCACATACACGCGCTCCGCAGGCGAAAGGGATTTCCCGTTTGTCGAGTGGAATTCAAATTTGAATTTATCTTCCAAACGATTTCACACACAGCCAAAAAGGACTTCGTGGCAACGAAAGCTGCCCCGCCAGCGGGAAAAAAACCAGAGAGCTATCCAAACTAGTCGAACTTCAGATATGCTGAAGTGGTCATAAACGAAAATGGGACTTAAACCACTCAATTTTGATATTCTTGATCTTATCTTACACTCTTGTAACTACAAATTTAGCAAATCATACCCAAATACTATAGTGATAAAGTACTTAAATAGGTTTGCTTTTAATCTTTACCACAAACCAAAATATATTATAAGCTACATAACATTTATAAGTTTTTTTAATTAGAAAGGTTTACTTGTACTGCCTGCCGCAAAAAGAATATTAAAAGCTTAACCCACCAATTTATATAAAAATGATTTTATATTTTTTTTTACCAGAACGGACAGAAAGAGTTTCCTGTTAACCAAAAAAAGTGCTCTGTGAGCCATCCTTTGATGGAAGATTTACGCCCATTGAAAGAGTATGCAAATGGTTGCCGCAAAAGTTAAGAGTTTAAGCCCCCAATGTGAAAGGCAATGAAGTGTGCCGGCCCCACTCAATTAAGGCGAGGGAATGTCGCCGGAGCTTACCTGCTGCATGGGTTGTTGCTCCTGTTGCTTCTGTTGCTGTTGTTGTGGCTGATGTTGCTGCTGTTGCTGCTACTGTTGCTGCGGCTGCCGTAGCTGCAACATCGCCGCTGGTGGTGGGTTGATCTGCTGCTGGCGCTGCTGCTGCCGTCGCATCTCCCCGCTGGACAGCTCCGGCCGCGGCCATGGCTGCTGCCACCTGGTTGCGCAACCCGGGAATGTCGGCCACGTTGATGCGCTGCAGACGCACCTGCATGAGGCGTGCGTTGTTGCCGTGTCCCAGGATGACGCGTCTCACCGTGGCGAACTGCTCGCGGCCCTGCAGCCACTGGCCCACCACGGGCAGTCTTCGCAGGTTGGCCAAGGCCACGCCCACTGCTGCACTGGCTCCGGCTGCTGCTCGCTGTTGCTCCTCTTGCTGCTGTTGCTGTTGCTGCTGCTGCTGTTGTCCTTGGCGCTGTGCTGCAAGTTGGCCGAAGAGGCGGGTGACTATGAGACGGGCACGTTGCATGGACGCCTGCTGGCCAACGGGAGCTCCTCCCCCAGCAGCTCCTGGTTCCCCACCAGCGGCAGCAGCTCCTACTCCCCCACCACCTCCTGCTCCTCCTGCTGCTGCTGCTGCAACTCCTGCTCCTGCTGCTGCCGCCGCTCCTCCTTGGTTGCGTGTGATGATGAAGACCTGGTGCTGGGCCATGATGGCTGGCAGCTCGTAACGATGAAAGAAGAACACCATCGAGTGCTGCAAAGTACACAGAGCGAGAGTGAATGAGAGCCAGACAGATATACGAGTAGGCGAGGATGCGAGGAGCAGATTGGTTATGCCACGGTCGCCGGTCACGTGAGCCGGGTTCTGGCCTGCACGTGAGCCTCTGCCCGGCTGGAAACAATGCCACAATGCCATGCCACACGGCACCGGAGAATCGAGCACGGAGAACGGAGAACGGAGAATGGAGAATGGCAATTTGTCATGCACTTGACAGGCGTAAACATGGCCGGAGTTCGTTTCCATCATTGTCGCAGCGGCGTTGCATAACGCATTCATTATTCGCCATGGTTACGCCATGTGGCTACGTGCCATCCCAGATCCCACCGTCCACCATCCTCCGTCCTCCGTCCACCAGCTAGTTGAATTCACTAGCCAGTAGCCACTACCCACCTGGGTGAACAAATAGGAGGAGAGCAGCGCCAGCGTTCTGTATTGTCCACTGAAGCGGTAGTGATACGCATAGAACGCAAAATGGTACAGGTAGAAGAATCTGCAAGCAAATAAGAGAAGAGGTTAGCGCCGGGCCCAAACAATTGCCACTCAACGGGAAGCCAAAGTCCTTTCATGGCCGATTGTTGGTTGTGTTGGTTGTGGGACGTGGGATTCGTTTTACCAAAACCATACGGGGTTTTAAAGCCCCTCAAATGGTAACCATTTTGACCAAAGCACAGCTTTTAAATGGTTTCTCAATTTTAAAATCATTTTAAAGACTTTAAATAACATTTCTAAAGATTCAAACTAATTATAGAATTAATTATTTATGTAAGAAGTTATGTATGTGATTCCAACGACAAATGTTTTCGTGGGGTTGATTTGTACATTAGAGTCCTTTATTTTCATTTCACCTCAATCTAAGTGATACATTTACCCCATGAAAGTGTCGAGCACTTAAGGAAATAGAGAGCCAATCTGGAAAACCATAAAAGCACAACTAACATAATGGGAATTGCTGGGCATTCAGCTCCCCGTCGTTTTAAAGCTGCCAAAATTCGTGTCTGAGGAATCGAGAACCCTCATCAAATATCGCCGATCGACGGGGCTGATGGGTTGGTTTTTACTTATATTTTTGGGGGGATGGGGAGAGCATGATTACCATTCAATAAAATTGTATTTAGCTGACAGAAATAAAAAGCGTAAACATATTGGTTTCTGTTTTTCTATTTTTCCGCCACCTTCTTGAGTTCCCACTTTGTTTTTTTCGGCGCTTTTTCTGTTCTGTTTTTTTTTCGGTTTTCGGTTTTTGGGTGGGCTGAGCATAAGCTGCGGAGAAATGGGTCAGACGTGTTCTGGGTGGAGGAATGGCCCTGGGAGCACGGGCCATGACATAAGAGTAACAAGTAACAGTAGCCGAGGCGGACAAATATCAAAACTGCCAGGACAACAGCGGCGACGGAAACAACAATGGTTGCGGGGAGGAAGTGGAGGACAGGGAAGGAAAGGAAAGGGCAGGAAGGAAGGAAGGATGGCTGAAAAAACACTCAAGAGGATTTAATAATATAAATAATTGCTGGCGCTGTTAGCTGAATTGTTGCTGGCCAAAGACAACAACAATAAAGAAGCACAATGGATGGCCATAACAACAACAACAACAACTCCAATAGTAGCAAATAGGACAACAAACAGGGGCAACAATAATGACAACGAAGGCGACTCATTGATAAGCAATGGACAAGGAGACAAGCGGACAAACAGCTTGACAACCGGACAGAGGACTGAAGACAGAAGACCTTTGGCGTGGTGGCCAGCGGAATTCAACTTTAATTTATTTTTACAGCCATCGGGAAAAAGGGGGTTCGGGTTTGGTTAGCGGAATGGGTTTTGGGGCCTGGCTATGATTGAGTTATGTTATTGAATTTAATTCGAGCTGATTGTGTGCACACACAAAAACACACACACACTCGGGCCAACCCAGAAGTATCGACCATCCACATCCTCGTCCTCATCCACATGCACATCCACAACCACATCAACATCAACAGCGACAAATGAAGACACACGACTCTTATTTAGCAAGCATTTCCAGGGCATTGCGCAAGCAGAGGGGCATTGAGCATTATGGACACATCCCCGCCAAACGCTTGCCAGCAATTTCCTCAATTTCCCATACCCTTTCCCATCGCACACACATACACACTTACACACATAGAGGAGCCGAATCCTCGAAAGGAAGTGCGGACTGCAGACACGTAGACAACACTTATCGCCCGTTCGTTTCCGTTTCATTCGCTTTCCTAATGTAGCGTAGCGTTGACAAGCAGCAACGCCTTGTCCCCGCTTCCGTTTCACTCCCGCTCCATTCCCATTCCCGTTCCCCATCCCCATCCCCTCCCTCCCCTTTCCCTCCCCCTTTCCTTGGCTTTCACCCTTTTACCCCATTCAGGACGCAGCTCCTTCCTTCCCGCATCTTACTTGCATTGCACAGTGACCTCAGCGAACCCAATTTGGTAACGCTTTCAGATGCAATACCTTAACTCAAAATAAGTAATATTATTTTTTATGATGAATGCTGAATATAAGTGAATTTCTTATTTTCTTCTTACATAACTATTTTAATTTGCGTTTCATCTGGCTTCTTCTTAATAATTATATAATTATGCTTCATACTTTTTCAAGAAAGTTTTTTCCTGCTCTATGTGTTAATTCAAAGAAGTTTCTTTATCATGCATCCTATTGCTTTTGTTCCTTTTATAAATTGTTATAGAAGTAATTTACTTTACATTGTTTTAAGAAATCTTTACCAACTCTTTCGCAACAATGACTCAATCTGCTTTGAGCCACCAGCGACCAGTGTGCAATGTGGCAGGACGGATGTGCGCCATTCAAATGCTGTTGGCTTTCATATCCTTCGAACCGAGAGCGGAAGTGGGCGGGGAAGGATGGCAAATAGGACAACTGTTGCATGTGTCGGGTATCCAGTTTGAGTGCGAGTATGAGTATGAGTACGAGGCACGAGTGTGAGTGTGAGTGCGGGTCGAAGGAGGGGCGTGGTTAAGTAAGCACCTCCGCTCAACCTGGTGGCAAGTGTGAAACGTGTCAGTTGTGCAGGTTCCTCCAGCAACGATGATCCGATCTGCGTCATAAGTGTTTATTTGTTGCAGGCAAACAGAGGAGGTGAAGAGCGGAAGGGGAATCGTAATAGTTAAAGTGCTCAATGAGCTTGTAAGCTCTTCAGCTGGTGTGGCTGCTTTTAATAGCATTTGCATCTATGGGATTGCACATCTTCGATCCGAGTGCTGATGGTTTAAGAACAGCAGTATATATTGTATTACATCCGGTGGAGGAGGCAGCCTTCAACCAGTTCGATTCAAAGGTGAATGCAGCTCGAAACTTAATTGAAATATCACAAAAACTGAAGTATTTGCCCTGCAAACAGCGCCTTTTCCCACACACGGCTGCTGTTCCTCTGTTAAATGCGTGAAAACGACCCATTTTCATGCATAAATTGGAACAGAGTTGTCGCAAATGCAAACAGTAGACAAAGGCACGTTGCGCATACGCCATGTTAACAAACAAAACAAGCTGAAACTGAAACAAACAGAGAACACAGTAACACACAAGCCAAAACACACACACACACACACACACACTGGGGCACACAACAATGAAGCGATTTTGCCTCGTTATGAACACTCATCAACTGCACCTTTGAACAACAGGCGGGCAGAACGAGTATACGCCCAGTTGGCCACCCCCAAATCAGCCGTACTCAGCCCTCCACTTCGCTCCTCGAGGCACTTCTGCTGGCTGAAGAGGGGTCGCCGCCCGCGCGTTTGGACAAAAGTTATGGCAGAAAAACAAACTTGACGCAATTATACTTTGCGTAACATGATCTCAATCAACACGAAAACAGCCAAAGGAGTGCAAAGCGAAAGGGAAATGCCTGCCTGCCCACCCGCCCTTTTCCCTTTTCCCTACACTCTTCTCCTCTTCTCCGCTTTTCCCGGGGACTTTTCACCATGGTTGCCAATGCCGTTGACGTTGAGGCTAACCCGCCGACACCGTGGCCACCTTTTGAGACCGAGCAGCGGCAACAATGGCAGTCGAATATATATGTTATGTGGCACCCTACACCCTCTAAATATATATATAACAGGAAAGGAATCTGGTTTCTGCCTGCCGAAGATTATACACCCTTGAACAATATCATTTAATCATTTATCAATGGTTGGTTTCGTACTTGCAAAGTCAACTGTCAAATATAGTTTACTGTATGACTATCTCTAAAATTATATACACTCTAAAAATCTAAGGATGTGTATTTTTTTATTATTATTTTCCCATTCTTTATATAATATCCATTTGAGAGATATCAATTCAATATCAACTTCTGACTGATGCTATAATACCCTCGGCAAGGGTGTGAATATATATATAGTTACCATGTTTGTTAGCGTAACAAGCGTGTAAACAAGAGTGGGCGAAAGCGGAGACGAAGGCGGCTACTTGAGGAGCGCTACTGTAACCGACCTGAAACCCCTTCTGCCCCATCCCCACCTTTTTGGCATTTGCTCTTTGAAGCCTTGGTCCTCCGCTCCGCGGCTCCTTAGTTCCTCAGTTCTCCAGTTCCTTGGCTGCTCAGCTCTTTAGCTTCCAGCTTGCCAGCTTCTCGGCGCGACAAACAATCTGCGCAAGACTTCGGCCTTATAAAGGTGCTTCGGAAGGGGGGAGGGGAAGGCGGGAGGAGTTGGGGGTCAGCAGGTGTTTCTTTTGGCTTTTCCTGTGCGTTTGCAGCTCATTTAATACGTGTCGTCTGCCCGTGCCTGGCAACCAGATTTAAGCACAAAAGCAGCATTACGCGCCGCCAGAAGCCACAGGGCAAAATAAGAAGCCGCTGACGGAGTGAAAGGGCTGAGAGTTTGGGGCTTATTATGCTCACCCCCACTTCGCTCCTTCACCTCAACTTTTAAATATATATATATATACGAACGATGCTATTTGGGGGTAGTCAGTAGGTTGGGTAAGTGGGCGTTCTCGTTAAACGGCGATTAAGAGGAGCTGCCGAGTTCGGCGCGCCTTTGATGACTTTAAAGTCCCTTAAAAGTCAATTAGAATGAATTGAAGGCAATTGACAGGAAGTTCAGAAGGTTAGTTGGATGGCTAAAAGCTGGCTTTGTTGCCCCGTTCGGTGGCTCGTTCATTCGCCGGCTTGTTTGTTGGCCACTTGACAGTTTTAAGCCTCCAACTGCCTGCCGGTCTGCAATTGCCATTTGCAATTCACGTTGATTGCAACTTTTAGCAAAGTTTAAGTACACAAATTAGTCTATGCAATGAAATTAATACCATTTGGCGAACTGCAGGGCCAGAGCGATGGGAAGGCAAATGATTGGGGAGCGAAGCTAAAAAAGGGAAAAGCGCCGCCAGCTTGTTTGTCTTGTATGCTAACTTCAATGCCAGCCGGCTTGGGCCGGGCTTTGACTCCCTCACTCCCTGACTGCCTAACTGCCAGCCTGCCTGCCTGCCTTCCGCAGACCAAGTTAACCGCAAAAACAGGCGAGCAAATACGGAAGCAGGAGCCAAAGGATCGGGCTGGCTGGCGGGCAGGAAGGAAGGAAATCAGGAAGGAAGCAGCAGGACAAGCAATCCCGGCCCTGTAACCCATAACCGCAGGACCAACAACAGAGACGCCGGCAAGAACACGAAAAAAGTTCTAAATTGTCATGGAAAAGTGTTGAATACCCTGCCATAAAAATACATATTGAATGGTATAACTTATTTTTGTTAAAACATTGAAGAAGATTTACCCAAATGAAGAATATTGTTTCTTTTTTAGAACAAAGTTCAACTCGTTCCCTATTTTTGTTTGTAAGTAAATTAAGATTTCCAAGAAATCTGAATAACTGCACTCCTAATTGAAACAAGTATTGTAATAAGTCATGGCAGTTAATAGCTTATCATCTCGTTCAAAATCATAGAACCCCCGGCTAGGGTATTTAAAATACTGCTCCGGAAACCCCTTTCACCGCTCGGGGCAGTCAATAACAGCAAAATTAAACCGTAGGAAAGCACACACGCTCCAGCTTCCCCCACACGGCCATCGACAGAGAAAAACACCCTGCAGACACACAAAACACTCACAAACATGCATTTATGGTTCCGGTGGAGTGTCCTGGCCATATGGCGAATGGGAGAGGATGTGCGAGGATGTCGAACGCTGAATTAATTTCACTTAAAGCAAGGACCCAGCAAGCAGCTGGCCCAAGATAAAAGCTGCTTTCCTTAGACTCGGACTTGGATCCATACCCATGCCCATGCCCAATCAGAGTCCTTTTTAGCTACCTGGGGCAGGCGGGCCACATCGGATATTGTTTGCCATTCAATTGCACAGAAAAGGATTCGCCCGGTACATTGCAATTGGATATTTTTTCATTCAAAAGTTTTGCAAAAAGTTTGACAATCTGGGCGAGCAAATGATGAGTTATGCGAAACTCCAAGGGGCAGCGCAGACACAAAAGATACACATTTCCTTTTGGCCAGGTGCACATCACAAGCTCACAGATTAGTAGTCTCTGGTCGCAGGGAAACTATCATTGGAATCTCGGCTGCCTTTCATCTTCACTGGCGAAACTCGAGAGCCCAAGATGCCTTATGCGTAGAGATGCCTCTCATAAATTTTTAATTTGTGGCCCAGTAGACTCGTGCACTGAACAAAAGCGGGCTGTCCTCCCGCCTAAATTGCTTCTGACGTCTGGACGTTTGCCAGCTGCCGTTTCCATAGGAATTTAGGCGAAGCTCTGGGCAAACAAGCCGGGCGCATTTAAAATCATTCGCGGCAATGAATCTTTAATGAATATAAATACGACAAGTGGCTCTCGAAAAGGCGAGACTCCCGCCTTCCATTCCTTTCTGCCGAACCGTTTTCGGGGGCACTGATAGCCTTTTAATTCGGCGCAAATTACGCAAAATCAACACCGCAAGGCGGCGAGCCCACTGATTGAGGATGGATGCATGCACATGAATTCATAATCAAGGCGAGTGGACTATGCCTCCCCCCCGCGACTAAAAAGGGAATTTTCGAGTGTCTTCTTGAATTATTGATGCTCCGTTCAGCGCATCGTGGAAATTGATGTCCGCGGAAAGTTGCCAAAAATAAAAAAAAATAAAAAGAAAAGGAAGAAAATAATTTCTTGCGGCGGCCGTTCTCAATTATGCAAAGTGCGCGTAATAAACCGCAAAGTAGCTGCTCCAGCTCCGTTCCTGGCGAGGATGGGGTTGCTCGCTCCTGACGTGCGTGGTCATTAATGTCGATCGAACCGGGAATCTAAGGCTCTAAGTTTCCACCGCTTCCACTTTCTTTTCACCCCTTCTTTTGTTATGGGGCCGCGGCAGCGAGTTTATTTAAATGTTTGCTAATGGTGCGGCTCAGTTGGTCGGCGGCTATATGGATGGCTGTATGGAGAAGCGGCGCTTGGGTTACGCTTGTTGACTTAAGTGATGAAATTCTCTGTTTGCCGGTGTCTGTGTGTGGTGTGTGTGTGTGGACGGGAGGATTGTTGGGTCGGGCGGATCGACAGAGGCCCGGCGAAGGGGTGGCCACTGGTCGATTTGTTCTGGCCTCGAGGGAGGCTTGCGCAAGCCAAGTTAATTTTCAAATAACAACCGGAACGCCAGCGGTTGGACTGGGAGACACGGGCGCAAAATACCCGGACGGAGGCGGACAGAGCGAAGGAAAATATGCGAACCGAACGAAATGAACTGTTAAGTGCTGATGACGGAGGTGGGAAATAGTGGGGGAATGCCCAAGATGTCGGGTGGAAGCTATTATCTATGGCCGGACAACGGCAACATAGATGCTGGAAAGGATTGCAGACTTAATGTAATTGAATTTGTCATTTGTTCGAGCCACGGACGATTGCCCAGCAAGAAAAAATAAACTTGTTCCGATTGAGGATACGGTTCGGGTTGGAAAGCAACGTTTGCCCCATCGCTACGCACCTGAGCCAATGGCGCTTGGTGATGCTCGTGTGACAGCAGATGGCGTCGTATTGATCCGCAATCCAGACAATCAGTATGATGTAGAAGGCCGTGGTGGTGTCATTAAAGAACTCCGACATGATGGCCTCCATTCCTGCAGAAAAGCAGATACAAGGGTTAATGGTCATGCAAATTAATCAGTTGCGAGCGTTCTTCCACACCTACGAGCGCCAAAATGACGGTGAGCAATGGAGCGATGGGAAACCGGGCGGATACATTATATTCCAGCATCTGCAGCAGGTCGACTGAAAGGGTGGAATAGTTTTTCAAATCTATCAAATGGTTTATATGTATCATCTACCAATAAAGACAAATATTTGATGATGCGAGTAGCGGAGCAGCATGGACACTGAAAAGGTCTGAAAGGTAAAACTGTTCGAGTGACTTTGCAATCGGAAGAAAACCAGTTGACTTACAAACAGCAGCATCACGCAGAACGCAGCTGGATAGCTGCTCCAGGCTGCCCACCACATGGACAGGAAGCGGTAGTGCTCGCCAGTTATCACATTGCGTAGATAGCCCTTGTTTTCCTCCTGCTCGGCTAAAGTTCTTACAGAGGCCATCAGTAAGTCATCATATCTATTAGAAAGAATAATCGTTTTTATAAAAATAACTATAACTTATAACAGGCAAAGCTTTCTTTTTACCCCAACAGTCGTTTGAGCAGGTATCGCGTTATGCTGTCCCCGAAACACTTATCCGTATCGGGATCTAGTTGTACTGTGAGCACGGGGATGTGCAAACGCTTTCGCGTAGCAGAAGACAAACGCAGGTGGCCATACTCCAGCGAATACTCCACTATGTACTGCTCCTCTACAATTAGAAATACCATTTGAAAGAATTCAGGTATCAGCATATTCATGATATCCCACCATCGTCTTCTTCGTTCTTGAGCTGTATAGCATTCGGATGGTCGTAGGTGTCTAGGATATTGATGGCATCGAAGTAGTAGTATAGTGATTCGTTACTATAAGCAAAAGTGGGTCTAACGGGCAGACCCAACTTGCCTAGAATGGATTCATAACGTTTAAGTCGATCGTGATTTTGTTGGGTTTGCGGACCAATGCTATAGTAACTGCAAAGGATATAGAAAGTTTGAGCTGTGATTTTTTTTATAAAAGGTTTATCTTACTAGGAATCCTTTAAGGAGCGCACTATTTGCTGATCCCGCTTGATGCCCTGCCAAATGGCTCGCTTCTCCGTCAAATGGGGAATAATCTCCACTCTGCAAGAGGAGATCTTAATAAACAATGATTAAAAGGAAATTCAAAGGGTAATGCGTGCCTGATGACTCCCTCGCGTGGCCAGTTTTGGACATCCTTTAGGCAGGTGCAGGGATTCTTGATAAAGGCGTTGTGCACATAGATGAGCGTAAAGAAAAACAACAGCGCCTTGGCCAGCAGCAGGAACTCGATGGTCAGCTGCACTTTTCTGAAAGTCGGGAAAGCATAATATATATATAGATAAGAGTGGAAAGATAAGCGTGCCAATGACTCTTACCGTGGCACCAACTCCGCATAGGCGGCCGCCGCCCGAAAGTAAATGGCATGGAACAGTCGATCCCGCATGTTAATCATATTGTTCTGAAATTAAGACGAAGATAACAGCGGTCTGTTGAATAGTAGTTTCCGTAGGTAAATACCTGGCCACCAGCTCCAAATGCTCCTGGTAGCACCCGATTGCGCCCGTTGCCGTTTCCATTCCCGTTGATGTTATTGATTGCGTTGGCCACCGCGATCTCGGCCGCATTTTCCGGCAGCACAGCGGCCATGGCTGGAATCGAAGGTTGTTACTTCCGCGTCTGACTGCCCGCTCTTCCGCAATCTTCGCTCCAATGCGAACCGATCTCAGTCTGCGTAGATATCTTAATCTCAATCTCAGAGAGTTGGCCAAATTTACTTAGCTGTGTTGTTGTTGTGGTCACAGCTTTTCTGCTAGCTTTTGTTGTTGTTGTGGTCCGCAGTAGTGGTGGTTTACGAGCGATAGCCACTATCGATAACTAAAAATAAATATTCATGAACTGGGAGGTGGAGCAGTCACGGTTTAGCTATGAGAACCAAACCATTCCATTAAAAACAAAGATCAGCTGTTTTGAAAATTACCTTTTTATTCTAAATGAAGATAACATAAACAAAATATCAAAATAATATGTTGCTTTAAGACTTACATGAACCTGTTCCAGTGGTACGCCGCCAAAGTTAACGTAACTCAAATTTGAACTAGTTCCTCTGATTGGCTCTAAGGTTGAACCAGTGTCAACGGTTAACCGCTTCAATGCGCCAAAATTTAAATATGGAAAAGCCAACTTGTTGTAACACCAAGAAAACCATTTAGAATCTTTTTATCTTTATTTTCTGCAAACCAATGTACGAAATTAAATATCTCAATGCCTCGACTTCCATTTGTCATATAAATAAGCTACATTGAATGTCGTTTAATTTAGTTTTACATTGATTGGTGGTTGTGATTTCTTTATTCATTTTACGCCATTGTTTCTATAGTTTCTCATAGTCATATATAGTTACGCATATGTGTTTATGATGTATATATAACTACATACGTGGTTGTTATCTCATTAAGCTACAAAATTATACTCATAAGACGAATACAAACGTTTCCCTCCTTAGTTATTTTTATTTATCATTACTTTGTTCGCTCTTTTACAATTGTTTTCTTTTTTCAACAGGCTATTCGGATTAGTTGTTGTTTCGCATTTAAAAATTTCGCTATGGGATTGTTAAATTGCTTTGCTTTCGTTTTTTGTTTGGTTTCCTTTAGCTAGTTGTTGTTCTTTTTGTGATTGTTGTTTGTGTTGTATAATAGTTTAAATTATGTATTAAGTTTCTTTGGTGTCTTTTTAGTATCTTACGATTTTGATATAAAAGTTAAATATAGGCAGGCGTGTGTTGTGTCCGTGTTACCTTGTGGGTGTGTGAGTGTGTATTAGTGTGATTGTGCCGACTTATGAGCTAATTACACACGCTACACATTTATTAACTTACCACTTAATATGTTTGTTTCCTCATCTCATCTAAAACCATCTTCCCGCCTTCCGGTCTTTGATTCGTTCGTTTTTTGGACAGGACCTTCCAAGAAGCGCCAAATAGTACAGAATGTACAGTTATACAGTTTACAGTTTATAGTTTAAGGTACAGCAATGCGAAAACGAAAGAATTGCCAATTTGCATTCGTAACCGTGTGTTAGTGAGTCTGTGCTTTCTGTGTGTGTGTGTGGTACAAAAAGATGGCAGCTCTGCATTTAAAGCGTAACGGTTCTTTCAAAAAAAAGCGACCACACACTAAAGTATCGCTATTGGTATTCGTTAATCGTCAATTTTTGCTTATCGCCAATCGCTAATCGCGCCAAATGGACAGCTTGGTTACTCAGATTTTCCGCTCTTGTTTCATATTCTATATGACATACTCCTTCGATATAAATCCTTTGCTAAAGTTATATATAAACTATTCCGATCTGAAGTATTGACAGTCACAGGCTCTATAAGAAGCGTGCCTTGGTTTTTTTTTTCGATTTGGTTTCATTCCTCTGCTTTTAAATATATATATATCTATGTATGCCTTTGTATATACTCAATATGCTTGTATATAATATGTAGTATGTTTCCCTTCTAGATTTAGTTCGTTCTTTCTCCGACTTCTGGTGTAAAAAAATGTTCCTCACCTAACTCTGCGATTTCTCTCATTGTTTTTCGTTTTAAAAGCGTATTTGTACAAACACAAACCGACGAAGGACATTTGTGTGGTTAACATAAACATTTAAACTAGTCGATATCAAAAGTCTTGAGGCGTGCGTGCAGCGTTTCATAGGAGGCCCGTTTCCACATTGTGCTCTGTTCCCAGCGTGTTCGGGTCGAAGTTCAGTTTCATTTCGCCGGCGAGCACGATCTCCGAAATGCACCCGACAATTCCGCTGAAGTAGCGCTGATGCGTGAAGTAACCCACGTCGGGCATGCCACCTAAAAGATAGGGTGACCTATAGTATCCTTTATAGGGGTGCTTCATTTTAGGGATACATACCCACATACAGGCCCGTGTCCGTATTGAGTTGACGTAGTTTGCCAGGAGCTCGCAAAGTGGCTGTCTTCCTTCCATCCACCTCTAGATAACCCTCTTGGGAGTTTCTGCAAGCGTCGAAATCAAATTTGTTAGAATTTATCTAAGAAGCTTTAACCAATTTAGGTTTTTATTTGTAGGTTCCATGGAAACTTCTTAGCTTAATAATGCATACCTGATGGCTCTCACACGATGCCACAGACCATCGCTGACCTTAGTGCCATTAAAGCGGATGTCAACCTCACCAGATCCCAAATCGTAGCGGAAGTGTAAGTAACTAGGGAACAAGCCAAGAAAGTTTACTTTCATGTTAATTAGAAATTCCAGCTAAATCTCACCCCTGTTCGATGCCCAGCGAAAGGTAGTCGTCGTGCTCCTCCGTCGTTCCCTGTCGTCCTGTCCAGAGGATAACTCCGTTCTCCGAGTGCGTTTTGATGCGCAGATTGAGGTCGATGCTGTAGCTGATCACCTGGCTCATGGTGTCCGCGTCGTTGTAATGGAAGTAGCTGTCACTACCGGCGAAACAGGCTCCGAAGTTCTTGCGAACCCCCTGAACCTGCGACTGATGCTCCGCAGACAAGTCGAACTTTTTGAGCAGGCTCCAATCGGTGTGGGTTTGCGGAGTGCTGGAGGAGTGCTGCTCTGGTTTCACTTCCTCCCCGGCTTGCATCACAGGCGTGAGGAGCTCATCATCGCTGTAGTCATCGCTGTACACAGAGGAATCATCGTTGGCGGAACCCTCATTCGGGTTAGATGCCGATGGGAACTGCACCTCCGCCTTCTTGTGACTGGAGTGGGTATTCGAATTGGACATGATGCGTTTCATGTCCTGGGCCAGTTGCTTCCGCTGATAGTCCTCCGTGCCGTCAGAGGCATCGAACAGTGACTCATCGAACACAAAGGCGTTCGCATCATCCTCGTTATTCTCGCTTGACTTGGAGTTGCCAGGGTTCTCATCCTCCACCGCCAACGGTGTCTGACTGGCCGCCATGGCATCGCCGTACTCCTGCTGCTGCAGACTGGCCACCCAGTCGTTGTTGTCCTCGAAGGTAAGGATGTCGCTGTCGGGGTTCGTCTGGAAACTCTCGTAGTGGGTGGGCAGGCGGCTCAGTTTGTGGGTAAAGGCGGCGTTCGGCTTCTGGTGGTGCTCGTGCTTGCTGGCCTGGTGCTTTCCGGCAAACCGAGGTTTGGGTTTGGGTGGAGCAGCTGTGGTGGAGGTGGTGCTGGTAGACATCTGCCTCTTGAGCTCCTTCTGCTGCTGTTGCTGCTGCACAAAGCGGAATATGATATCATCTTCGATTTCCTCGTTGCTCAGCGACCCCGCTGTGGCTGCCTCCGTTCTCACAGGAGTTTCAGTGGTCGAGGTGGTTGAGGTGGTGGATGTTGAGGTTGGGGCTGAGGTCCTTGTGCTCGCGGCAGGGGTTGGCTTATGCAAATTCCTGTGCTTCTTCGAATGCTTCTTGTGCCAAGACAGGCCAGACACCTTCTTCAGTCCTTCGCCATTGTCCTTCGTCTCGAGGACCTTGGACTTGCGGAGATTCAACTCGGGCAGCTGCTCCAGTGGCACCTCAGCGGCCTTGTTGCAGCGCTCGTTGTGGATGCTGCAGCGGCACTCGTAGCTCTCCATCTGCGGCACACACTCCGCCAGAGGACCGCATGGTCGAGCCACACAGGCGTGAGGACAGTTGCCGATGTTGCTGCCACCCAGGGCCTCGGCCACAATGCCCAGCGAGTGGCCATTGATGTCAATCTGTGAGCGGCGAACAAAGGTAAACAATGGGATTGAAGACTGCAAAAAGGGATGTGCCCCCTTCCACTCACCTTCTGGATGCAGCCAACGAAGAAGGGCTTGTACTTGAGGTCCAGCGGCAGACGATCCACGTGGTTAACTCCGCCCACAAAGAGATTCTGGTCCAACGACAAGTGCCAGAAGCCATTCGATGAGATGGTCATGACCTCTTGGTGCTGATCCACCTAGGGAATTGAAAAACCCAGAGGTAAGTAAAGGAAGTTCAATGATTATCTACACTTCTTACCTTCAGTACTGCTAAACGAGCTGTTCGCGAAATCTTTATGGTGTGCCATTGACCCAGACTCAGAGAATGCTCACTCCTAAATAAAAAAAAAAAATATTTATTTATTTACCATTCCTAAAATATGTTATTTAGTTTTATATCCTACCTCACTAAAGCCGGACCACTGCCTAGATCAAAGGCAAACTCCACAAAGCCATCGTTTAGGTAAAGTGCTATAAAATCTCCTCGATGCTCTGGACCTGAGTACAGGATTAAGCCATCTGCCTGTTCGGGTTTAAGGGTCACTTTAAGCTCCAACCAGATGAGCGCAGTGTCGCCCAAGGGAGCGTAGCGCAGGAATGAGGAGCCATTGAATGCGGGAACCTTAAAGAAACGATTAATATTAAGACCAACAAAGTAAGAAAAGATTGCTTTAGGAATAAATACCTGCAGGTCCATTCGAATCTCGCACAGATCTCCCACAAAACCGATGGGACACAGGCATATGGCTCCTTGATCCGAGGGCAGGCACTTGCCACCATGTTGGCAAGGATATCTCACGCACTTATCAGTCGAGCAGTCCTCTGTGTAAAAAAAATATTAATATTGAGACAAGTTCTTAAATTAAGTATAAATAGCTTACGGATATCAAAACCATTTATGACATCGCCCAGCGGATGCTCTGTAAACTTATAGTCATGCTCGTTGGCCACAAAACGACGAATGCAGCCGGCAAATCCTTCCGCTAATGGTAATCGCTTAGCCAAACCAGTAATATTACCTATGCCACCCAGGAAAACTGGTTCCCGGAAGGTAATACGTGAGAATAAGCCCTGAAGAAAAGCAATTTAATTTGAAAAAGATTGTGTTGAACTTATGAAAGTTTAACTTACATTCGATCTGCCCTGAACTTTTGTTCCGTGGTTGAGCACCAGCCAGGCATCCCAACGATGACGGTAGATAATGACCGAGTTCCATTCGTTGAGGAGGATGGTCTCCCGGGATCTGACACTACCCACTCCCGAGCCACAATCAAACCAGAACTCCACGAAGCCCTTGTTCAGTAAAAGAGCCATAAAATCACCGGTGAGATCGTCCCGTTCTCCGCTCAAAAGGATAATGCCGTCAAAGGACTCTGGACGGAATTCAATGCGCAGTTGAACGTGTTTGTAGGCGCCATGGAGCGCCGGAAAAGCTAGCCAGGATCGCTTGGCGAAACGCGGGACATGGGCACGGATATCTGGTATATGATAATAAAATTAGTACAACAAGCTACTCAAGATAATGTTTTGGAAGATAGCACTTACCCTCCTGGCAGCCAATGCCTGTTTTGCCAAAGGGACAAAGACATCGGGAACTGGCGGCAGTGGCCTCCAAGGCACAGATTCCATCGGAGCCACAGTCAAGATTGCAAGTGGGTGAGCTGCTGCATAAAACGATAAAATTATACTAATTTACTTTAAACTACTACTACTACTTCTACTACTGCTACAGTATGTATGACAACCCCAATATGCAGATTTAAGTGGCTCTAGAATTCGTACAATTTCAGCATACTTAAGTTGCACATGACCAACAAAGGATTTTAAATTGGCTAAGGAATTTGCAGCACCCCCCAACGCTGGATTTTTATGACCCACCTGTCTGTTGCCATGGCTGCACCACCTCCAATCTGCTCCGTTGCTGATATGTTGCCAAGTCGACTTGGCTCCCTCGTGATATGCATTTGGACCTTATTGCTGGTTGCGTCTGGGTTCGTCATCTTCCTCCGGTTCTTGGCCGTGTTCGTATTGCTTGTCTGCTGATATGTTTGCGATTTGCTGTTGCGTCTTAAGTTTAATTGATTATTGTTGACATCGTCGTAGACGGACATGTCCGACTTGTAGCTGTAGCTATCGTAGTCATCGTTGTAATCCACATCCACTTGGTTCTGGCTTCCCCTCGACGAGGAGGTTGCCACGGGGGATCTCCTGGTGGTCGAGGTGGTTGTGCTTGTGGTTGTGCTCCTTGTGGTGCTCCTTCGTGGAGTTGGGGGCACTGAGGTCGGGGGCTTGGTGCTGGCCGCCTTGAAGTCGGCCACGTCCTGCTCCTGACCCTCGGACTCCGAATTGAAGTTGATGCTCTCCGCTGATATGTAGTAATCGTTTGAATTGACTTTCTGTTGCTGCTGCTGCTGCTGCTGAAGATTCAGCGATTGCTGCTTCTGCTCCTGCGTCTCCGAATTGCTGCTGTCCTCCAGTTCGCCGTAATCGTAGCTATCGCCCTCCGATCCGGACTCATCCTCCCCGTTTCCGTTGCCCGTCGGCGATGCGGACTGCGAGGCGGAGTCGCCGAACGAGGACTTAGCCATCGACTTGCCTCCATCGTCGTTGGCCAACTTGGCGCTAAACGAGGCGCCCTTCTGGTACAGCACATCCTCGTCCGACTTGCCACGCCCATCCAACCCATTGGCAGTGGCGTTAATTACTGGAAATCAGAATGGATCAAGTTGCGTGGTGAACACCGAAACGAAATCATCAATTTTCAAATTTTAATTAAATTTATTAAAGGACGAGGGTAAAAGGAAGGTTTTTATATAATCTAAGTAAAATGAAAACTATCTTGTAAAATCAAAGTAACAATTTTTAGCAAACCCATTAATGATGCAGTTCATTAAGAGGCATGCCAAAATCTGATTAAATTATAAATGTTATGGTCTTAGAATTAGTGACTTCTGAGGACTGAGATGTCTTCTTCACTGCGTTCCAAGCTTCTGACTAAAATTATAATACCCTCTATACAAATCGTTCTCAGCAATCTTTTAATTCCCTAATTGATTTAAAATTGATCTGTTTAGCTAATCATTCCCGTTTTTATTGAGGGAATACCTTGCCATAATCAAACTGTGCCATGTAATTTTTCCAACACATTGTCGAAATTGCAAAAATGAAATATAAAACACACGCACGTTAAATAATGTCGCATAACAACACACAAAAATATCAATTTGTCGGCCTGCCGGGGGGCAAAAACATTGTAGAGTCGAACAATCAGAAAATAATAATTCCCCAAACAAACCCGAACAGAAATGAATAATAACCGAGCGGGGCATGCAAATGTAATCGTGCCGTAATCCAGCCCACTTGGATGCCAGTCCCATCCATCCATTACACGGGGTGATTTTCGAATAATAACCGAAATGGCAAATCAATTTTGTGGCCAGTCAGGAACTGCAACTATGCATGGTTCGGGGGTAGGGGGATATAGAGATACAGGGATATAGGGATATAGCCATCCCAAATAACGCACCTTGACAGCCGTAACCATTCTTGCTCAGTTCGTAGCCCTCGATGCAGTCGCACTCGTACATTCCATCGTGGATCTCGTAGCAGAATTGTTCGCAGGGGCTGTTGTGTCCACAGTGGCCTGTTTTTTGGGAGAAATAGAGGGTTAGGGGGGATGGTTTAGTTGGCATTGTGGCATATAGATGGACGATAACGGGGTGCGTTTGCTTCCGACCGGCAACTTTGGGTTTGGCCCGCTTCTCGTTCGGCTCATAATTCCAGTTCACTTCAGTTGCGTTTAGTTTAGTTGAGTGTCCTGTCTGTCGGTCTCCGTCTACGTCTACTTCTACATCCAAGTCCATGTTTCCTGCTGCCGAGTCAGTGTGTGTGTGTGTGTGTCTGTGTGTTCCTGGGTGTGACCGACGTGTCCGCAATAAATTCTAATAAGCTTTAAGGACTTTGGGCCCGGTTCTCGGTTCTAGCCTGCTTCTGGCTGTGGCATACGCTTTTCGTAATTTACTGCTGGCCACGGCCACATTTCAAAGGCACCGCACAAATTCATAATGACTACTTAAATAACTCGGCTGGCCGATAGTTTAGGTAGTTACTTTTTTAGGGGCAAACTTTTTCGCACTCGGTTCGATGGTAATTTAAATGCAAATTCTGTAGGCGGGAGGTGGATCAAAATCACAGCCATTTGGCTTGCATTCTCGACACTCACTTGACACCGAAATTGTGCCACTGCTGGGAGGAAATGGTTGAAAAAAGAAATGCAACAAAAAAATGTAAAACATTACAGGCATTACGCATACGCCCGAGTGGCCCGGCACTTACGTCACACATTGTATTAAATGGAACGAACGCAGAGGCACTTTCTGAAGATGGAGACACGAACACGTCAGCTACTCTGTTAAAGTGCCATCAAAAGGGGAATGAAAGGGGTTGAAGGCGGATGGCGGCCAGGACACAGAGGCGTAGAAAGGGAGGACAAAGCTCGGGCATGCATGCTGGCTTGCTAGTTGATTAAGCAACTGTGGGGACGATTAAAGTGCACTGGACACAGAGGACACGAGCACACAGCCCAGCACGAATCCATTTGCATATGCACACAACCGAACACAGGCACCGAGGAGCTACTGCCCCCTTGGAAACTCCTTCGCCCGCCGGCTGTGCATTGCGTATTCAAATTGAAATTGAAAAATCGCATTTTGTATGCAATTGAAATCGAAGTGTCAGCAGCACACATCAGCATCGTCGCCACTGACAGATTCGCCCCCATATATCGGTGCTCGGTCGGTGCTGAAAATTTGACAACAGCCGTTGCATAACTTCCGATCCCTCACTTCGGTTGGGTTTTCTGGTTTTTCGGTCCACTCTCACGCATAATTAAGTCGCTCATTAATGTCAAAGGCCACACAATAGGACCTCGTTTATTGATATGTCGTGCGGAGTCGATCGGGGGGTCGGGGGGTCGGGGGGTCCTTCAAAACTGAAATGCCAATGCCAAATACCGAATTGCAAATACCCAAATTTCCACAATTAGGCACTTGGCAAAGGGGAAACGGGAAATGGGGCAGGGGAAAGGGGAAGGGAGTGTTTCATTAGGGTTTTGGATGTCAAACGCACCTTGGAATGCCGCCTCCTCTGGCTCCGCAATCGCGCTCACTGCGCCGCTGGCCCACGATGATGATGATGATGACGATGATAGCAGGACGAGGAGGAGCCACACGCAGACGACCCGGTAATGGTGATGCTTTGAAGTTGACATGCTGCACTCTGTCCACAGGTGTGCGCAATGGGGCGTATGCTTGATGCGGCCAAGGGTTCTCCTTTCCTTTTTGGGCGCTCAATTCAGTTGAGTTCGACGGCTGCGTTCGTTGGCGTCCCGATTCCGATTGCGATTCCGAGTCCTTTGGCCATCAGCCAGCGGCGAACATGGAGCGTGCATGCGTCTCGACGTTGCCTCCGCGACTGTTGCTCCTGTTCCTTGCCACGAGTCCTTGTGCCTCCGGAATGCTCCTGCGGCCTTACCACCTGAAAGTACACACACACACGCACGCAGAAACGCGACAACAAGCGCGCAATTAGTAGGCGGTAAAAGCAAGGCAAGAGCTCAAGCCAACGCAAACGCAAATCAAGTGGTCATTATAATATAACCACAAATTGCTAAACACGCAGTGGCCGAACGAAACATCGGAGGTGAAGAAGGTCGGTGCTGGAGGGGTGTTAGGGGGAATGCAGGGTGAACAAGGTGAGGTGGTAACCATTAAGCACACACCTGGAAAATAAATTAGTGCTTAAGTTGAGAAAATAAAATTATTTTGAATAAGCTGCGTTACTTTAAGTAATTTAAAGCTGTTCCTCAAACTATATCAGTATAAAATACATATTATCTTTATATTTTTAGGAATGGAATGTAGTTCGAAGGCCTTTAGAGCTTTCACCGGCACACAGAATTAAGTGAATTCACCCTTTTATCTCTCACTGTAGACAGGAGCATAGGCTTGAGCTCTGGCATGATTCATGGCGTTGGTAAAATCAATAGGAGCCACCATGGCAACGCCGCCACAACAAATAGACAAAGCCCCACATCAAGCGTGGCCACTCCTATTACCCAAAACCCAGCCCATCGGGCCCGCCCACTCGAAGTGCGCCCACCTGCCAACTGGCGTCCTACCTTAAGCCAAATACCGTGTGGTCTAGTAATTAGAAATCAATACGAGCACAATTCGGCAGAATGTGTACCCTGCATGGGAAGGCAAATAAGCTGGCGTAGATACCACCCGCAGATGGCAACAGTAGTAGTTGATGGAAAAATCGAAGATGGGGAAAAATCCAATTTTTTCGTTGCCTAATTTTGGGCTTTTCCGCTGGCCAATTTGAAATTGAAATGTCAAATGTCTCCAAGACGGAAGGCGAACGCGTGCAAATGTTGTTAAACCTTGGTGCCGCACTCATCTCCCGACTCATTCTCGCTTCCCTCACCCGTCTCTTTCTGCCGCCGTACTGCTATCTCTTTCGCTCAGGCATCGCACTTAACCCGTGCTCGAGCATAGCATACTTACTGGGGCAAACATTGCAGCCGCAGCATCTCCGCTGTTTCGGTTTTTGCTTTGCTGCTGCTGTTGCTGTTGCGACTGCTCTTCTTTCCTCCGCACTCCCTTTGTTTTTCTGGCTTTATTTATTTATACTCTCTGGTGTCCCACTGGTGGTACGAGGATTCGAGATTCAGGAAGTCCCCCAGACGAACGGATGTTTGATTTGATTAATTAAGCTAAACCAACTGGAAGCTGCTTCTATTAACTGTTTGCGCTGATGTTGCGTTATTTTGGTGTTTCATTTATATTGTTCTGGCAACTGGATAAAAATAGAGGAGTGCAAATACCATCTTGCCTTATTATTATTTTTAAAAGTTTTAAGACAAAAAGCTTTTTTAAAAATTAGTTGCCAAGATAAAGTTTAAGTAGACCAATAGACAATAAAACTTCTCGACTTATTCGGCTTATGAAAGTTTGAGGGGGTAAACTTTAAGATTATTAAAAGTTAATTATGAAAGAAATTCTTATAAACTTGTTTAAAGAACATTTGCTTTAATCACTTCGAATTGGCGACCTTTGTAAAACTATGAGTTAAATAAAATTGAAGGTTGTTGGGAATTTATGATACTCGATAAGCAATAAAGTAAAATATCTGAAACCTAAGAAACCTCTAAAACACTGTTACAGAATCTTCTTAAAGCGAATTTACCCCAGAAGAAAAGATAGTGTAAGCTCGAAATCGCTGTTGAAACCCCCTTGCAAGTGTTCTATATATTTTTATGGCAATTTTCATATGCCTGCGCTTAAACTCGCGTTGACTGCCTACGGCCTCGGGGGTTTTCCACCACCCACTTCCCCCTTTGGGGTTTCCTTTGCTGCACAAGTGTGTGTGTGTGTGTAAGCTAGGGGTGGGGGCTTAAATGGGTAAGCACTCGCGATGGTTGTGCGTGCAAAAAAACTTTTCGTTTTTTTATAAGTTTGACGTAAGGGCTAAAAAACCCATCACCATTCCGCACTGTCTCAAGTTGAGTCAGTCGAGGTTTCGTTTTTCGTATTTTTTTGTTTTTCGGGGGCGACCAAATGTTGCCGTATTCATTTATATCGATTTTTCCACCTTGGCTATTTACACACACACACAGTGGCACACACACTACACTAACACACAGACGACGGGGCAGAGAGGTTGACATACTACCCACATACTTCTTTTTGTACATTTGTATTTGCGCACTCTCTACGTTATATTTTCGCATTTCTTTCATTCGGGATTTCCCCACTGCCTACCCCTTTTCTCTTTTTGTGTTTTTTTTGCATTTTTATTGCGTTTTTAATGGCATTTCTTTCCGGTACGACGCCTCCGAATGGCCAGCAATGTAGAATGTTGAAGCCCGTCGCCCAGAAATCGCTTTTGTGTGGGTGCGACTAAGGGGATTCCCCGCATTCTCCCCCATTCCACCTTTCCGTTTTTCAGGAGCCCAAATGCATGTCGATGCCGATGTGTGGATGGAAAACTCATTATTCAGGTAAGCAGCGGCACAAAAACGTGCGCTCATTTGCCTGGAAAATGCGACCTCAGAAACTAATTAGAACGCATGGGTATCGAAATTAATAGGCTGTCGCTCAATCCACACAAAACTCTACTCCTTCGACTATATCCATTCTTGACTCTCTCGCTTTTGCGAAAAAGTTGATCCAACCAATTAGCCTAATGGACAAAAATGAATGCTTCAAGTGGCAGTGATTTAATTACACAATTAAGAGCTCATTGGGCAGCGGTCTTTCATCGTGGAAGTCTGATATCCGATAGTTGGCTTTACGGAATCCATATTCGTCGCTGGGGTCATTTATCACAGATTACCGACTTTTATTTGAGTTGAGTGAAAGCCCTGGGATAAAGTTTATGCATCGTAAATCGTAAACTCAAAACTTTCCCCCACTAGGTACTACGTGACCACAAAGTGAGGCGGAATTTTTTTGCCGGAATACCAGAGTTGCCGACCATAACAAATGATCAAATTGCTCTGGAGAGGACCAAAACTTTTGTCCAGAGATATGTCCGAAAACTATGAGGTTGCGCCCCAGTGAAAGTGAACCGGATAAGTGGAAACCGAATTATTTGCAGGCAAATAAAGGGTTGCCTGCTTTTGGGCGAATTTTCCACTAAGTGGCTTATGCGGCGGAAAATTCTAGGGGTAAGCCTAAACCTCAGCTGCTTTTCAATTATTTAGAAGCTGCTCTCGATACCATGGCTAGTTTATTGATTCAAAAGGCAAACAAGGCCAAACAAAATGGCAGCCACAGTGTAATATCCATGGCTGATGTCACGCAAAAACTTTATATAGAAAGCCAATAAAGGGGAAGTCCCCGGGCGACTGGAATCAAACCTACAGAACGGAAAAGTTAAGTTGCAAACGAAACAAAACAAAGCGAAAACTAAAACAGCAAACAGCGGTGTACAATAAAAGCGGAGAACAGAAATGGAAACAGAAGCGGAACACAGAAAACAGAAGCTGAAACTGAATCTGAAACCGAGGCAGCAGCCGAACACAAAGGGAAAACGTTAGTCCAGCAATAAATTGTGTTTTTATAAGGCAGGTAAATAGAGCACAAAATCCGTGGAGAGCCAATTGGGTGGCCAGCAACCACAAAATACACACAAAAACAATGTTCGGGGGAAGGAAGGCAAGTTCGTTCTTGAGGGGGAGGAACTCGAATCGACTCGATTCACGCATGCCAGACTTCTGACTCCCAAAGACTGGCCGAAATGACAGGCAAGAGACAACCGAGAGACCACAGTGAAGATACGTTAATTGGGCTAATCTGCGTCGCTATTCCATCACATTAAAGCGGGTTTACGGGAAACCATATGCATACACCAGATTTCAGGGGAGAGGGAAAAAGTTAATTACTTTGTAATTTTATTTAAGCACGAAATCTGATAAACGTGACCTTTTACAGAAGGCTTTTTCATGAAAAATTTATCAACAACACGAAATCTAATAACTATAAATGTCACTGGAAAGGAATATTGTTGATTCAAATCTAAACCCCACAACAAAGATATTGGGTGGTGCAACCTTTATTGAAAAAAAATATTGAGTATTGCTTTCATTTCTCAATTTTTTTGACCTTTTAGCAGATAGCGCATAAAACGGTCCAAATAAAAAAAGTCCAGTGGTTAACAACATATATAAACCAATTGATAACTTTTGATCTACTACCCGCATCCGTTTTAATTAACTTAAAGTGTCAGCTTACCAAGGATTCGTATTTTTAATTGATAAAAAAATACAAATAAATGCCCACATGCGTTTTATAAACCTCGCATTGAAATAGTAAACTATGTTTATTTTGCTTTCAGTAATAAATAAATAAATGGAATGCACGTAACCAATTCGATTTAGGTCTGTTTTAGTAAGCCTTTATAAAAACATACGAGTTATTTTCAAAGTATTAAATCAATACTATTGGACTTTATGACTCTTGGGACATCTAGTTGAGCTTAATAGGTAAACAACAGATTTAATAATTTTAATTTGTTAAAACTTTTAGCTTATTTAGTTTAGATAAGCCTAGGATTTTATTCGGCGGTAGTTATTACTAATCATGACACCCTTGGATTTTAAATATAAAAAGTAAACTATTGCTTGTCTTAAGAAGCATAAACTGATCTTCATTTCTAGCATTATATGTAAATAAACTATTGGGTGGAGTTTAGGATAACTATTAAATAGGTGTTTCGCCGCTAGTGTCCACTGTAATAGCCAAGTGGTTTGGCGCGTTTTTCTTGCGGATTATCTTGCCTATGCTTTGAGTGCTTAAACATCGGCCCAACGTCCTACTAAATGTATATATCCTCCTATATGCGGGACGCGGGCCTAATTTATGGCGAATTCGCAGGTGCGCATTTTACTTGAAAGCTGTCAAAGACCGCGTTCCTTGCCACAACGACAACAACAACAAGAACAATAATGCCAACAAAGGCAAAAACAACAAAGTAATTTCCCAGCAAAGACCCAAGGACTAAAACAAAAGCAAGCACACGCACACACACGAACACAGCTCGAGGGGCGCCGCGTGTGTGTGTGAGTGGGTGATTTTATGTGAGTGCTTGTGTGCGTGTGGGTGGAAAAAGGGGAACTCCCCCAAAAGACTTTTGAACTGCTGGCGATGTGAACGAACTGGTAATTATCAACATCATCATTGCAACTTTAGTTTGACCCAAAAATCGCAATAAATAAAAGTGGTGCTTGCATGTATGTATATATGTATCAGTAAAGAATACGCGAGCATGTGCGAGTGTGAATATATTTGTATATGTAAAGGGCAGTGGAGTGGCCACTTGAAATGCGCTGGCCACATAAATTTCCATTATTTCATTTCGCATTTTTCCGTCTTCTTAAACTACAACACACACACACAAGAACAAATCCTTACGGTTGCTGTTGCTCCTGCTCTTCTTCTTCTGCCTCTGGACAAGTACCGTTGCTTCGTCCTCGTTGATTTCTGATTTCTCCTCTCCTCCGCCTCCTCCTTGTGCTTTATTTTTCGGCGTTCAGCGATTTTCGTGGTATTTACATTTACACACTCCTGCACACCCACACACTCTCACTCACTCACTCACTCACTGTGGGGGACTCACACACACACTGACACATTCAGCTGTCGTATAAGCTGACTTTCACATTGCACTTGCGAATTTTCAATCGGAGCACTCGAAAATCCACAATTACGAGGGACTTCCACGTTTTTGGCTAGTTCCCTTCTATGTATTTTGCTTTATCGCTTTCGTTGTGCGGCTGTGTGTATATGTATTATTTTGGTTGTATCCTGCGAGCGGATGTCTGATGACGGCGGATACGGATGATTTCTGGCGTTTTTAGCGAATCCGTATCTGTTTTCGTGGAGCGTAACGTTTTTACACTCTAATTGACGGGGGACTACTGAGCGTATGAGTGTCGAAACGGAATGGAAATGGCCATTTGGCACGGGAGAGATTGAGCGAGCGCCAAGCAGTCGCAGGAAAAAAACAAACCCTCGGCTGACAGCTCGAAGAGAGGCAAAACAGGAGAGTCCTTGGTCCTTGGCGTTGTTGTAATATCCGATTCCCGATTATCCGGCCATGTAAAGAGGCGCCAACTTAATTTCCACAGTTAAACTTGGCTTGAGGGTTGCCAGCGTAGATTCTCAGATTTTAAAAAGGAGTAATTGATTAAAAGAAGTTGAAAGTATGATTTGAAATATCAGTATCTACATCAGTAGGTCAAATTAATAAGAAAAATATATTATCGTTTCCAAAGGCATCCAAACACAAATGTATATAAAATAATCAGCATTCGTAGTATATATTGTGAAACGGTTTTTTAGAGACCACATGGCAACCATGAAGCATCTCAACCAGCTCCCTTTCTCAAAAACTCTCACCCCTCTTCGTGCAGTTACTCTCCCACGCACGCATGCGCTACAGGAGAGGACCCAAACATTCCGGGCAACAACAGAAAAGAGAGACGTTAACGGTGATGGATGGATAGCAATGGCCAGAGAGCGTATGTTAAACAACAGCTTGTTGTTGCCGCTGTCTGAAAGTTAACAGTTGACAGGACAATAAACACCTTCGAAGAGAGCCAGCAACACTTTAAGGGACATAAGCCCATAATGAACTCGACGACACGCGTGGACAAAAACAACACCAGACGCCTTTGCGGTGGGTGGGGTGTAGGGGGTGTTGTATTTTCAAGGGTGTGGGCTTGTGTGCAGTGGCCAGTAAGTCAGCTGATCAAGTTGCAGGGGTTGATGAAGGGTTGTTGTTTGCCTGCCGAAAGCAATGATAAAAAAGAAAAACATATTGGTGAAGGAGGCATGTCCAGGAGGCCAGTGCCCAATCCATCTCCCCTTTATCCTTACGCCCACCCTGCGATGGTAACCGAGACTTGGCAAGTCTGCGGCATTGCTGTTGTTGTTTTTGTCGGGGTTGTTGCTGCATTGACAAGTCAACGTTACTAATGACCCATCGCTATTCATGACCCCCGACAAAAGGAACGACATATAGCATGGGTGTTTACAAGTCTGTCTGCACAGGAAAAAATCTTCTATAGCGTAAGTACTCTAAATATACCAATTAAATAAAGGGACTCTTTAAAGTAAATCTCACAAATATACGTAACAATGACAACAAGAAGTGGAACTGTAGTGGAATGCCCTTATCTAATATTTTCATTACTTATTTATTATCTTTTGTAATGCATTGAGAAATTCATACATCCTACAGATACGAAGACTATTTAAGGCTAAAAACTTTCTTTCCATAATTATATTGTTTTTTCTCTGTGCACTTCCTTTGTTGCAGGCTTAGTGGGTGCATTTTCCAGGCCCTCGCTGCACTGCCATCCCTTCGGCATTCAGCAAATGAGGCATTAATATCCAGACGGGGACCTCCCGAACCCAGAGCTCAAAAGCCAGGGCCCGAAACCCAAGCGGCGTCCCCTTTCCTTCCGCAAGCCCTCGGGCTTCCCAGCTCCGGCTTCCATGTTTTCGAGTATGTCAGGGCAAATATTAGTATTCCACTTCACTGTGAGCATTTTGTAATGGAAAGTGTTGTTGTCGTCGTCGTAGCTCTCGTCCTGCTGCATATCCATCAGTCGGGCAGCCAAGCGCAAGTAATGTGTCACATTACAAATGTTGTTTCCGTTCCGCCACTCCATTCTAAGTACTTCCCCCATCACCTAAATCCGCGATGCAGTTCAATAACAAAAGTATTAACCACTCTACTTGCTGAAATCGACACAACCATAAAAGCAATAAGCGGCACTTTATTAACTTATCAAGCAGAAGCAAGAATTATGGGGGCACTCGATACGTTATGGGGCTTAATGCAGCAGCAGCAATGCATTGATGTAGAACACCAAGGCCAGATCGCTTATGTGCTGACTATCGTCGTCATCAGCCAATATATCCTTCGGCGAGTCCCCTGCAAGCCAGCTGCCAATTTCCATTACGTTGCGCCAGTTGACAAACTCATTGTAGCCAAACAATCCGCAGATGGTTGCTGCGGTGGCAGAGAGATGTGTGGCAGTGAGATATGTGGCGGAGATATGTGTCAGCGATACGAGCGAGGATGGCCCTTAGAACAGCATCCACAACCCAGTGACCCCAGCTCACCTTGCTCCAGATACAGATCGCGATATACAGCTGGCAGCCCCAGGCTCCGGATGGCATTCTGTTCGCGTTCCACCTCATCGCACTGACTCCTGGCCAGCAGTTCGTACACCTGAGGTGGGCTCAGGCGGGGGGCACACACGTGGTGCTGCAGCACATAAAGCAGGAGGACCCTAGGATAGGATAGAACCAGCTGAAGTCAGGGAAGTGTTCACTGGTACTTACTGGTGGGTCCTCTGGTATCCGTAAGCTGGCGCATCGCTGGCCATTAGCTCCAAGCATTCATCAGAGTGGAACTTGCAGCTAGGGGGTTTCATCTCCACAATCTCCCGGAGACAGAAATCTGTTTAATATACATTTAGGGAGGTAAAAAAACACACACGAAAAGCAATACAAACTTACCCGATTGAGTCCGATTAGGCTGTCCCTCGTTAACGACTTTTGAATAGACTTCCGCTAGCTGCTCGTACTCTCCATTGGCATTCAGTTCCCCCAATCTTAGCGAGGGTGGCAGCAGCAAAATGTTTTTTTGAAAAGCAATGCTAAGGACTACGCAGAAATTATTAAAAATTTTACAGTTTACAATTGTCCATAATAATCATACTTTCACCCTGGGTTCCTCGATCCCTAACCATTCCCGATCGGTCCCTGATGTGCTCCAGCCTGTGCAGCAGATGGTAGTAGAGTTGCCGTTCATAACGCGTGGGCGCCACGTATCGCAATTTCTCTGGAATGGACAGGGCATAAATAAATTCGCACATCCGTCATCCGTATCGCTGGTTTTCGGTTCATTGGGCTCACGTTTTATCAGGAATTGCGAGAGGAGCAGGGCGAATGTGGAGCTGGCACTGAGGCTTCGTCCGCCGGAGAGCCCGTCTAGGAGTCGGTAGATGCGATGCGGCAACTCCTGGTCAATTTCAGCTTGAGCTCCTCGGATTGGTATCAAAAAACAGCCGCTAATGGCTAAAATCAGAGTGTATCTTAGGCCGACAAGCAACATGTTGTCGGCTTACCAACCCGGAGGCTTCTATATCTCCTTTCGTCCTGGCCACTTCGAAGTCACTTCGGAGGCCGTCTTTGATTTCGCCACTTCATGAAGATTAATTGAGCCGCATTTGTTCTGTCCGCCGTGCGGGGGCGAGTCCAGGGCTCTCTTATTCGTCCCCGGGGTGCGAAATATAAAGTTTCTCATATTAATCACAATTTACAGCTGGATACATTTCGCAGATTGAAGGATTGACTTTAAGTTTTAAGTGTTAAAGTGGGTAGCATGCCAAATTTAATGAATTTAAAAATTTTATACCGTTACGATTTCCCGCCATGTAGCATGAATTTAACATGGCTGCAAACGGGTAACAGAATTTTTAGTAAATTTTGATTAGGTTTCAAACAGCCTGCCATTGCCTTACTTGTCGTCAAAATTATTAATAAGCTCTCTAAAAAATAAAAATATATAAAAATAACAAGAACATTTTATTTTCAGTGAAGTCGCGTTAGTCCGTACAAGTCACCAAATGTCAACTGGTCACACTGACTTGCCACTTTTTCTTTGTGTAATTTTTTGTAGTGAAAAACGGTAGAGTTTAAAGCACAGTTTACGGTTAAATAAAGAGAACCACAAGCGTTTCCAATGTCGGAGAACAAGGAAGACACCTTAGCCAGTTTTCAGGTAACGCAATTCATTGACTAGCAGGGGAAATTCTTTCAATTTCGCTGCGCACATTGCGATGCGTGTGCGCTTTTTTGGTGTGTGGGTGACTTTGGTAGATAGTTCCCATATCGAACTATGAGGTACTTATGGTTGCTATGTTACTCTGTGATCTTCCTCAGAACATAACGGGCATCGACGATGTGGGCGAGGCCTTCTCCCATTTGGAGGCCGCCGACTGGAACCTGATGGTGAGTGTCCTTTGTTCGCCAGTCCCCCATCTCCGCACATGCGTGGTCCTAATTGCGTTTTGTTTTTGCCCAGGATGCCCTGAGTCGGGTGATGCCTCACGAGGACTCTCCGCTGGCCATCCCCGTCCAGCAGTCTGAGCCTCCGGCCAGGAACCCTGTTGAGAGCACCAATGGCTTCCGACCGCCTGGATACGAGGAGCTCCCTGGTCCCTCTAATGCAGCGGGATTCTTCGGGGCCGCGTTGCAAAACCAGAACCAGAATCTAAACCTTCATCAGCCGCACCATCTACAGCAGAGATTTCCCAGTGAGTTAAACGTGATTGCGCTGCTTTTGTGCCTTGTCTTGAAACGTATCTACTATAGCGTCACAATTGCTAGCCCAGCTGACGTCCAGCATTAACCTGGATCCCGCATCCAGCCAGAACAACAACCAGAACGTGATTACCTTTAACATTCACTTCAACCAGCAGCTGTACCAGGTCCGCTTGCCGTCGGAGGCAACAATTGGTAAGCATTTATCTACGCCGCAAATGAAGATTGTTGATAACTTATAAAACTCACTTTATAGAGCAACTGAAGCGCAAAATCTTCGATGAGACAAGCGTGCCTGTATGCCGACAGGCCATTCGCGGCTGGCCGCCTTCGAAGGCCAGCGATGCCCAGCAGCTGGGCACGCGACTCTGCAATCTGGACCTCGCTCAGGAGAACGAACTGATCCTGGTGGATCTCACCGATGACGGTTTCATGGACACCGAACAGTAGGATGATCTCTACATTATTTAGATCCCTTTAAACACCCCAATTTTTTGCAGGGATGATGTAACGCAACGAGTGGACAAGACCTTCACCATTCACATACAATTCGAGTCGGACACCCCACTTACACTTAGCCTGCCAGGAGGAACCACAATGCAGGCACTAAAGATGAACGTGTACGACATCAAAAGCATACCAGTGCGCCACCAAGAGTGGACTGGCTGGCCCAATGGTTGTGACAACGAAACCACTCTGGCGGTAAGTCAAATTAGTTTTTTTTTTCCTCAAAACTCCGAACTAATAAGACTCTGATCTTCGTAGCAATCTGGCATTGAGCTGTCGCACAGGTTCGCAGTACGCAGCACAGCGCGACCAGCTCAAACGAATTCCAACCAGCCCAACGCTTTCGAGGTGGTGACCGTGGACAGCGAGAGCTCGGCAGATGAGTTCGAGGATGCCACAGACTTTAACAACGCCGAGTACATATTCACCGATTCACCGCCTGCTCAGCCGCTCAACAGACACTTAAGTGAGCTTTCTTACTAACGTGATCTTTAAGAAGTGGGTAAAGTTTTTCTGTTTTCCAGTACCAAACAACACGGATGACGAGACGAGTGGTTCCACGCAATTTGTTGAGAACTACAAGTTGCGTTATGGTGATCCGCACCCCGAGTTCTTCGTAGGCAGCCTAGAAAGCGCCAAGCAGCTGGCCTGCCAAAGACCCGCGAAGGAGGTAATCTCTATAATATTGAAAGGGCAACATCATTTATAAGAAGTATCGTTATCTTGTAATCTTTCAGCGCAAGCTTCTGGCTATTTACTTGCATCATGGTAAGAGCATTCAGATCAACGTTTTCTGTGATCAGCTGATGAAACACGAGAGCATTATCCAAACCTTCAGAGAGAAGTTTGTTCTTTACGGCTGGGATATGACCTACGAAAGCAACAAGGACATGTGAGCTGGCATTGTAAGCCACCTGGATGTCTTATTATTGATCTCCAAATGTGATCCACAGGTTTCTTTCCTCGCTAACGGCTTGTATTAGCAGCAACGCCTCGCTGACGGCCAGGAATATTAAGTTGGATAAGCTGCCGGCCATTATGCTGGTGGGAAAGAGCCGCCAGTTAGGCAGCAACTGCGAGGTTCTATCTGTGATTCATGGTAAGTTTGCCAAGTGTGCCATAAAATCTGTTTCTAATGTATTACCTTATCTCAGGAAACATTGGTCTGGATGATCTGCTGACGAGGCTCATTGAAACCTGCGAGATGTTCGAGCAGCAGCTGCAGGTGGAGATCCGGGAAGAGGACGCACGAGCCGCTCGGGATCAGGTTAAGGCCGAGCAGGACATGGCCTACCAGCAAACCTTGCAGGCCGACATGGCCAAAGATGCGGCAAAGCGGCAAAAGGAGGCCGCCCAGTTGGCCGAGCGAAAACGCATGGAGTCCGAGAGAGCCGAGGAAGATGCTAGACGCGAGTCCATTAGATTAGTTGTAAGTTGAGAAGGCAAAATGCCAAAACTGGATTGTAACACTTTTCCGCACAGGCTCAACAATCCCTACCTCAGGAGCCGTCCGAACAAGTGGCGGGCACCTCTAAGATCCGTGTGCGTAAGCCGACGGGCGATTTTCTGGAGCGGCGCTTCTTTATCAGCAACAACCTGCAGGTAAATGTCACTCAAACCTATTACGAAGCACCTTTGGATAACATTTTTCGTTTAAAACAGGATCTGCTTAACTTTGTGACGGCCAATGGGTTCCTTATCGAGGAGTATAAACTAATCCGTAATTGGCCACGGCGCGATCTCACGGCAATGGAGGGTAGCCAAACACTGGAGACGCTCAAGCTCTATCCGCAGGAAACGGTCATCCTGGAGGAGCGATGATTCCGCTCTTTATTTTAAGGCATTTCGTTCGATTGGGTTTAGTTTTTGCATTAATATTTGAAAACTGTAGAACTATCTATTATTTACGTACTTTAATTTAGAGGAGCAAACGAAAAGTTTACAAAAGCATACACACCACATACATACATACCTATATCTAACGATAATGATTATGATCTAGCTGCAGTTAAGAGTAAAGGTTTTATACAACTAAATACTACGCATAGGAAATCCAGATTCAGATCCAGATCAATCCGATCGAGCAGCCCCAGCACCAGATTCTACCGGTAATCGTACATATATGCATATAGCGGAGCAGAAATGAAAAGAGCAGAAAAAAAAAACAGCTAAGAAAAGAAACAAAATCACTGCATTTATGTTGGCTTGTTTTATTTTATTAATAATAAATTATATAACATTTACTGAATGCTCCGCCCTAGGTTACACTTGCGCCTAATTACACTTAACAACATAACGCTGGACACGTGGGAAGGGGAAAGGGGGGTCTGGGTGGGTCGCAGGGCAGAGCCGTGGGCGGAAGGGGTTAAACAATGAGCACACAAAACTGATACGAGTATTGGGGGGGGAGCAGGTTATTGGCCATCCAGGATCAGGCGCCTACGACTTGCCCAGGAACTGCTCGATGGGTGCCAGCACCACCAGCAGGATCAGCACCACAACGAAGAGCACCAGCACTACTGTGTACACCCCGAGCAATCCTTTGCGCATGCCCGCATACTGAAAAGAGGGGAAGCACCGAATTAGAATAGCTTCAAAAATCCCAAAAATAACTCACGGGAGCATCCATCTTCCGCTCCATGCTCATGCCGTTCCGCATGGCATGCTGCTGATGATGCGAGATGTCGCCCATTTGGAAGGAGCTCGCCCGCTGGCTGAGGTGGCGCTCCGAGGCCATTCCGGCGACCTGCCAATGATTCAAGCACAAACCGATCTACACATTAGGGGACGTAGCCACCAGTTCCCGAGGAGATGATGGGTGACGGATGAATTAGTATCGAATGAATGAACTTTTAGGGACTCAACAAGAACCACTGTACAGGCAGGCGATGCAGGGTCTACTCTTTGTACACTTTGGGGTCATGATTAGAGGGGCAAACCAAACCCAAATCTTAGCTAGATTCACTTACGGAGAATATCAGGTGGACGAGCACGTGAACCACCACGAAGCTAACCAGGATCCAGTCCATCCATTCTGGCAGTTCAGCTTTGGGCAGCTTCACCGAGAAGAAGATGGTTACAACTGGAAAGGCGAGGGGTATTTAAGTAACCTATTTTGCTAATCCTCTTGAATGTAGACATACTTCCCAGGATGTGGGCCAGATTTCCACCCAGCCAATGACCCCAGTTGAAGTAGGGTCGCTTTTTGTCTTTGGGTCCTGGCCGGAATAATGCTCCAATGGGTTGGATGAAGCACAGAATGACCGTGATCAGTCCAATAATTGAGTGGGCATGCCACACTGCACGCTTCAGTTCCACCCAGATGAGCACATAGGCAGCCACCGTGAGCGACCAGGTGGTGACCATGAGCAAACGATGCCAGGCGAACCACTGATCCTTGCCGCAACTCTGGCTGCCCACCCACGTCTGCTTGAAGTAGCGCGCGAAGATGATGCCCAGCGAGGTGGTTCCAATCCAGGCTGCAATCATGAAGGCTCCGTGGAGCTCAATCAGCAGCCTGCTTGATCCTCCCAAATCCTGCACCACCGCCAGATTGATGGCCTGTGCCGAAGGCAGGCGGCCAATGTCGTGGTAGCCCACACTGTTCTCCTTCAGACTGCTGCCGGAGGCCACCAGTAGGTGGTACTTGCCATTGCGCAGGTCAAAGGTGCGTCCCTGAACATTGGTTACCGCGTCCCTTTGCACCCGGCAGTAGATCACACCGTCCACAATGGAGGCATCCAACAGGCGGGCTGAGTTTTGGCTCTGCAAGTAATTAAGTTTAATAATTTTATGTTTTAGAGAATAAAAATTGAAATTAAGAGTGCAGAGATTAAGGAACTCCTAACTTACCACACTAGATCTCACTGCCGAGTAAGGAGAGGCTGAAGTCAGGGAAGAATACAGGTTGACCCTTCCATTCTCGGGCACACACTCGGTGGTCAGGTCGTCACCCATTTTGGCGTCATCGGAAAGACCCACAGCCACATAAGCGGCATTGGTTTCTGCGAAAGAAAGCCAAGAACATGAAGAGGGAGATGCCACTTAGTCATCCGGTGACTCACCCTTGCCCGACTGAATCTCGAACTCGAAGATATCGCCCCTCACCGAAACCATAGTGACGGCCTTGCAGTTGTGGGTGACCAAGCAACCATCCGGAAAACCAAAGCAGTTCTTGCTCTCCCCGCAGCCATTGTAGATGGGATCTGGGACAAAGGTAGCCATGTTGCTTGGTTGGACATTAGGGGGGTTGGCCAATAGGGGGCGCGAGTGGTTCCCGCGAAGGCAGGAGGACCCTGCGTGGGCAGTGAAGGAGCCGTCACATCGCGACGGACTATCTGAACGGGTTGCGAGGGCACTCCCACCCAGAATTCATTGTAGCTTTGGGCAATCGTGGCACTGGAGTTTGAAATCAAAGGATTTAAAGCATTTAATTAAAGAAATTAAAGGATTTAAATTTAGTGATCGTTCGTTTTTGTTTTCATTAATTCCTGGCTTCAAAATGCCGAAAGATAAAATAATAATATAGTTTTAATGAATTCACATTGGAGTCTTTTTTTTTTCTTGAGTAAGTATGACTCACTTGAAGATCACCTGGCCGAGGAAGTCCACTGGTGACTGCCACTCGAGGAGCACATGCTGCTTGGGCCCGGCATTGCTGTGGGTGGCCGAGTTGTTCACGGAGTTCTCGCAGTTCATCAGCTTGATGGTTCCGTCGCGGGCCGGTCCGAATTGCCCGACAATCTGGTGGGGGGGATTGCGGTTCCTCGCCTGGATCATGTAGCCGCCGAAGCTCAGGCCGGCTGGCACCCCAGTCAGATCCACGCGGAGGGTCTGACCCTGGCCGAGGGTCGTCGAGGAGGTTTCCACCCTGAAGGGCGACACGCTGCTCTGGGGCAGCACACTGCCACCGCCGTGGAACGGCAGCATGGTGTCGCACACGGTTTCCGGGGCACCTTGCGGGAGACTCTGGCCCGGATCCGGCCAAGTGACCACCGCCAGCAAGCCAATCACGAGCGTCAGCCAACTCCGTATCGTCAGCGACCGCGTCATCGTGGAGCACCTGAGGAGCAGACAATGCCGAGTTGAGTTGCTATCGAATCGGGCGGAATTGAGTGATCAGAAGCGAACCGTGTCCCGGCTTCCGTTCCCCTTTGTTTGCCAACCCCCTCCCCCTCCTCCTCCTCCACGAAAATACAAGCTATGTATCTGAAAACCCCGTCAAACATTCGCCATTTCCATCTTCTGTCGTCTGTTTAATTACCATGGCATAAATAATTGCTGCCCCGCTTATCGGGGGCACCTTTTCAGCGAACCCGCAAACAATGAATTGCGAATGTATCTGCACATCTACATATTTGATAACGATCAGGAGTGTCTATAACTTCTGAATAGTTGGGTACTTCAAATACCCTGAGTGATTGAGTAATGGTGTTCGATTTGTTAGAACGAGGTAAATATTAATTTAATTGTATGTTGAGGCTCCTAACGAAGGAAAACAAAAAGTATTCCGAATTATATGTTATTATACTCACTGACTGCTGCGAAACCCAGAAACTCTCAAGATCTGAACTTCCTGAGAAAATCATCGTTTCTAAAGTGTCTATCACCAAAATTATAGAAAAACTTAACAAACACTGCACCTATTTTATTACTAATTCTAGAAAATCAGGATCGATATGGGTCCATATCAGTCACTCGATATGATTATATTCAGCGCTACATGTATCGCTTAACACCATTTAGCTTTCAGTTTGCTGGCCACTCAGCGCTTATCACCTGGGGAATTTGGCTTGTCAGGCATCACTGCGTATGCGTTATATTCCGAGTAACTGGAAATATAAACGCATACGCTAATAAATCGGGCTAATGGCTAGTAAATCTAATTGCCCGCTGGTGGGGCCATAAATTAAATGTTAATTACACTTGGGCAAATCGCTTCATTATATTCGAGTGCAATTGTTTTTTGTCAAGGGGTTTCAAAGGGTGCTACTTCTTTTTACTCGCCCCGATTTGTTTTTATTGGCGGGTTAACAATATATTAACGAGGTCAGTTCCCTCGTGAGTCAGAGAATGACTTTTGCTTTCGTCGTGATCAGCCAATCCAATTCAAGATCAAGACCAACGAGGAAGTGAGTGGGCAGAATACATTATGCGGTGCACCTGGGACTTTCCCATGAGCGCTGGGAATTCAGACGACTGTGATTCATCGCTATATCACGAGTTTATCTGTATCTCCAGTCCGTCTGCGTCGTACTATATCTCCCGCTCCGTGTCAAGAATTCGAATTGAACTTGAATTTGAAAGCGTTTACGATTAACCTTGAGCGGTTTATAGCACATGTATCTCAGCGGCCATATATGCGTGTTTTTTAATTCATTTGCCTTTCTTTGAAATGCCAGCAAAATGTTAATTAAAGCGCGGCTTGAGCCAAAGCTTCATACAGTCATTGTATATATCTTATTTTGGCAGCTTTGGAATCGGTGTTATTGAATTGTTGGGTCTTTTTAGAACCGCACAATGGGAGTTCGAATTTGCCTAGACCTTGAAAGTCAAACTTATTGATAGCGAGTGATTTATCCGAAAAAGCATTCACCCAGACCTTCGCTTATGTATCTCTATGTATTTATCTACCTTATTGGGTACACACATATCTGGTGGTAGTTCGCACTCTGTAGAAGGCAAAGTGAAAACCGAAACGAATTTCACCGGCCGCCGTGGCACAAAAAATAACAACGATAAATGCTTTCCATTAAATTCTTGGCACATTAATAAGTGTTTCGCGGCATATAGCCATTGGCCCCCATACAACCACGACTCGAAATATTCAACCTGGGCTCGGCTTTTGTTTTTGAACGTGAGACAAAACTGATTAGCGACTTTTCCGAAACAACAATGAGCCATTATGTGGGCCCGAGCACTTGACTCCAACATGCTCATTGTGAGCGGTATATATCGTTATATAGCGCTATATAGCATGTGCACAAATATGTGTATATGCATTGCACACATAGAGCTTGTCATGCCCTTGTTAAAAAGCCAGTTTTGAAACTTGTACAAAAAAATAATCGCAATTTGAATGCTGTCGGTGTGTGTCTACACGAAATACCCACTTGAATTTGACAGACCAACTCTAATTGCTTCGATCAATGCAAAAGGTATGTAGATCGCATTGAAGGGGTAAACGACTCGTTATAATTTGCTTTCTTGAGATGGTGACCACTTCAGGTTGTTTACCAAAGACCTGCTCAATCATCCTCTTGAAAAGTTGCGTAAAGTTAGCATAATTGCCAAACGCCTGCAAGTTGATAAGATTGGATTTGACTTTGGTAAAATCAAGATTATCACTCAATCAGACCAAGAAACCGTTCGTATCGCCTTGTTTTTTTTTTTTCATCAACGATTAGGCGGATGAGTTGACTATTTCTGGTTGATTTTATACCCCATGCCAAGTAATGGCTTTTGACCCCGTCAAAAGAGTTCGAAGGGGTGTTGTTTTGTGGGTGTGGGTTTGGTCAAGGTGGTCAACGAATTTCCTTGCATTGCAGCAGTCTTGGCCGGACATCGCGTGCCAGAACCTGTGTAAACTGGGTTAACAACTAGCCTGTAGTGCGCAGTTCCAGGCAACCAAGTATATGACCCTTTACTTCGATGGTAAAACCAACCGAACGAAGCATTAAATTGGGGTTGGTATTTAATTTACAGGTTGGTCCTATGCATACCGAAGAAGATTGATCAACATTTGCTTTAAGAACCTGATTGACATGTGCCAGAGCAGTCCTAAATTAATGTTTAATCTGGCGATAAACAACAGGTCATCAAGGTTTTTATGGTTCTACTACTAGTTGATAGAGAGTATTATAAGGAAATACATCGGCTAGAGGGCTTTCATTAGGCAATAGACCTAAAAAGCTTATTATTTTCTGCTATATTGTTACTAAGTTTTTTTTATATTACAGATAAAATGTTATATAGCTATTTGCATGATAAATTCAGCCAACTATGTTCTCACTTTTACACTTTTTTCGAAAAGCTCACTTTAAACTGAGGGCAAATTAATTGACTGAGATCCGAACAGGTGTTCTCTGTTAAATGCTTAAACTGTGTTGAAGTTGTTTGGCCGAGAAAAAGGCCTTTACGACTGGAATATTGATTCGTGGTATGCACATAAAACCGTCATTAGATGACATCATAAGGCACAGATCGAGGAAATCGCCGCGGTGTGAGAGCAAAACAAAAAAAACTGTACCAATTGTTGTCATTAATTATATTTATTGAAGTAAAGCGAACAGGTTCATTCGTAGAAAGTGACTGTCACCGTTGATTTATCAGCCGTCGAGTTGCGTAAGCCACTGAACTCGTGGCCGCGAGTGTGCCAATTCCTATAAGGCGACCGGAGCACGTCTCGAGATAACCCCCGAATAAAGTTTGGTTTTCTTTTCACTATTTTTCCGCCTCGCCTTGTGTTTACATCACACCGTCACAACTTTGCGCAGGCGCGACGCTTGACATCACTCACTTCTATTTTATTCGTGTTCGCTGCTTAATTAATTAACCACTGCCATTGTGCTTAAAAGACTTGCATTGCGTCTTGCCATTGAAATGTGAGTGCGAAAAAATAAATCTATGCAAGCTCCGGACTGATGGGGAGTTCACGGGGAGGGGAGGGGACTGTGATCTCAGCATCGTTAAAATTACTGAAACCGGTTTCACTGTACATGCGACACAGTTCAAGTCGATGGAAACAAAAACACAGCAGCAGCAACTTAGGAATTTTTATGAACTGATTAGGGGATTAGTCTCAAGCTCGATATCCCATTGACATTGTCTATATACGATGTTTTGGGATTCGTTGTTCCTCCGCTTGAACTTCACTTTCGGTGGACAAGTTGCACATTGCAAATTGCATGCTGAATGTGGCATGTGGCATGATGATCATATTGCGGTGGGCACACCTGCGCCCAAGTAGAACTCCATCGCCATTCATTGCGAATAACTCAAAACCCGTTTGACAAAGCACGCACTAACCTAAAATCGCTGTCAACAATATTCGAAAATCACTCCGAGCTGCGTTAGCTCTTTTTCTTCTCGTCCAATAAACCGCTTGGATTTAGCAAACCGAACGCAACGAATTGCCGCCAACGACTGAAAAGCTGGCTGAGAGCGCTGAAAAAGAGCTGGAAAGCAAAACAAGTGTTTCAGTTATGTATCGATAGCAAAGCCAGCACTCAGCGATATCTCAAACCGCGAAACTACTCAGCTTTTTACGACCAGCGGAAGAACTCGTTTTCAAACGATTTTATACCTTTCGATCCGGGAGATTCTAGAAAACACTTTTGACCGTTTTTGTTTCATTATTGTAGCTGAGGGTTCCTCTTAACGATCAGCTTAAATTTATTTGATTACATTTATTTTATGATTAGTCGATGTAACAAGTTTTAGAAAGTATTATCCTTCTTCTTCGTCTAAGAGAAATAAATCCTCGTAGGCCCTGCGAAGGGATTGCCTTTGCCTGGCCATCCGTTTGGTGAGCTTGAAATTTTGTATCTTAAGTTTTAGATGCCAGATCAACACCTTTGGGTTCTTGGGTTTTTTCTTTTCCCGTCGTTCGGTGATTGCAGTCCGAACTTCTGAAATTTCTGGCGAAGGCAAACGCGGTTTAAACAGATTGCTATAGTCTCCGCAGTTACAGATGTCCGAAGGATATATTTTTCCCACATTACCAATCACTTTATGCCACGACCATTCCGGTGGCTCCTTTGGTTCTTTTGGATAAGATGGTTCCATTTTAAAGTTGTTTTATAGTTTACTAATTGATTTCGTTTGCTAATGACTTCTTCTCTAGTTTGGTCCTTTCTTAAGAAGTTTTTTATTCTTTTTGCTCAAGTTTGGTCTTATATTTTTTCACATCTTTTTGTTTCGACAATTTTTAATTTTAACAGTTGCGAGTAAATACCCGGCTTTGAAATAAAAAGTGACACAGAGCAAGAAGGTTACTATGCTTTTTTTTACGCCTAGGTAACAAAAGAATTTTTTCGATGAAAAATGCACGATGGACGTTCATTTCTATTCAAATTCCGAACTAGTGGTTTTAGATTTAAATTTGCCGCGTAGCTGCACTTTTGGTGTTTGTGCAGCCCTGTTGTTTGATTTTTCGCCACTTGGAGAACGGTCTCATAATCGGCTGACAATTGGAAAATTGCTAGAAAAAAAATACATTTTATGGAAAATGTGCTTAAAATTGATTATTTTCGTGGGGATCCTAGCCCTGGTCAACTGTGAAGTTATCATTGGCCAAGACGAACTGGTTGACGAAATCTCAGGACTGTACACAATCGAAGGACGTGTTTCCCCGCCCGATTCCATTTTTCCACCGGCTCACGGAGGACAAGGTGCTCCGGTAAATAAGGAAGGCCCTAAATGGCAAACGGAGGTAACCCTCTCCATCAACGATGGCGAGTTCAAAGGATTCGTGCGTGAGGACGGCCAGTTCATGATTAGCGGTGTGCCCTCCGGAAGCTATATCCTGGATGTCCACCACCCGGATGTGTTTTATGAACCGGTGAGAGGAAACAATTCTGACCAGAGATGATGAAGTTAACTTAAGAAACCCTTTTTTTAGGTGCGCGTCGAAATTAACCCCAAGGGAAAGTTCCGCGCCCGCAAAGTGAACTTTGTCCAGCCGGCACAAATTATGCAGGTGCCCTATCCACTGCGAGTCAAGCCTCTGATGCCTTTCAAGTACTTTCAAACCAGGGAGCAGTGGAAGGTTAGACTAGTAGTTATAAAGCCAATAAAATTCATTAGCTAACCTATAATCGCAATCCACAGATCACCGACTTCCTGTTTAGCCCCATGGTGCTGATGATGGGACTGCCCCTACTGCTTGTGCTGGTGCTGCCAAAGATGATCAACGATCCCGAGACCAAGAAAGAGATCGACAATCTTCAGTTTCCCAAGGTAAGTACCACAAAAAAAATAAATATTAAAAGCACAATAAAATCCACTCCCTGCTTTACAGATGGGCAATGATATGCCCGAGATCAGCGAGATGTTGACCTCCCTGCTGACGGGCAAGCAGCCTGAGCCCAAGGAGAAGAAGCCTGCTCCGGCCGCAAGGCAGACTAAGAAGCGCAAGGAGTAATAGCTGACCACCAGGGCACGTTTAGCCTTAAGCATATAGAGAGCCCCAAGCTCGATAGTCAAGTTCGAGTAAATAGTAAATTTCCATTCTAAGCCACATATGCTTTATTTAAGAAACCCAACCGTCTGCGGACGTTTGGGTCCTGCGCGCTCCTGCTCCAGTTTAAGCATCTTGGTAAGCAGCTGGTCCAGATGCTCTCCAATGGACAGGCCCAGTTGAAGGCAGTTGCGCATGGTGTCCCGGTGCATGGCTCCACCGCCTGTTAGGTGAGTGCCCGAAAGGAATGCCTCTCCATTGCGCATGGATACGGACACAACCACGCTGACTGTGCTGCAAACTTCCTCCTCCGCTGAAGGATCAACAAGGCAATAGTCGCCAATTTTGCAGACGGTAACCAAGAGCGGAACGGTTTCAATGCCGATGCGGGTGCAGTCGTAAGGGTTGTCCGATATGATGAGGTCTGTGATCCCGGCATCCAACAGAGTGGCCGTTACACGGGGCAATTTGGTGTTGAAAAGAGCCGCCTTGGCAGCCAGAGAGACGGCGTCATGCAGATTGCCACCGCACTCCAGAATCTGCAAGATCAGGGATAAACAAAATCGGATCACTAGGAAACTTTATGAACTTACCAATATGTCGATGTACAGTTTCCAGCACTGCTGACCCGGAATGAGGCACAAGGTGCGATAGTCGAACGCCAGTGGCGATTCGTAAGCGTTCTGCAGGGACAGCACCAGTTCCTGGGCCAGATCCGAGCCCCCGCGTCCCTCAAACTCTGGCGTGGCATTGGCAGAGCTGATAACAGTCCGAAAGTTAATATTAATCTAAACCAAATCTACATCCTACCAGTCCACAAAGAACTCCAGTTTTCCAAATTCTGGCGTAAGGGAATCGGGTACATCTATCTCAGTTTTCACTCCCACCAGGATGTCTGTGTTGGCAAGGCGCAGGCGAGCGGAGCCACTGGCATTGCTGACCAGTCCCGTTTCCAGTTCCATAGGCCTATAATCCCGGCGAGAACGTCCATCGCAGCGAAAGTCGTCCTGTAAACTTACTTATTTACTTTTGGACTTTCAAAACAACTGAATAGCTTACCTCCACGCCGTGCAGTATGAATGTTTTCTCTGCTTCGCTCAGTGCAACGTATGCCATTTTGGATTCGATTCAAAACAAATTAAAGGTTTATAAAAATCAAAACAAATTTAGCATGTGCAGCGAGCCCAACAGATGGTCTGAAATCGATAGTTCTACCATTTGATCGATGCTTTCAGGGCTGGTGGAAGTACTTGCAGTCGGTACGGGATATGATAGTTTAGAATTGTCCATCACTGAAGTTCTGGTGACTTTGCAACACTTTTCAAAAACAAGCCAGTCATTTCGAGCGGCTTTTCTTGTAAAAAAGTTACTTAAATTTAATTGTGACAAATTTAAGGATCAAGATGTCTCCCGACTTTGACTTTACCGATACGCCTGTCAGCACCGGCGTGAGTATGCCTTTGAGTACCTCCATAACAGTCTTTTAATAGCCCAATTCCCTCGGTTTTCAGACCACCATTATGGCCGTGGAGTTCGACGGCGGAGTAGTCATTGGAGCTGATTCCCGCACCAGTTCAGGTGCATATGTCGCCAATCGAGTCACTGACAAGCTGACCCGCATCACAGACAAAGTTTATTGCTGCCGCAGCGGATCCGCAGCCGACACCCAGGCAATTGCCGACATTGTGGCCTACTCTCTAAACTACCACGAGAACCAGACCGGCAAGGACGCTCTGGTCTTCGAGGCCGCCTCCGAGTTCCGCAACTACTGCTATAGCTACCGCGACTCCCTGCTCGCCGGCATCATTGTAGCTGGCTGGGATGCACAGCGCGGCGGTCAGGTCTACAGCATCCCCTTGGGCGGCATGCTAACCCGCGAGTCGTGCACCATTGGCGGTTCTGGCTCTAGCTTCATTTACGGTTTCGTGAGGGAGCACTACCGCCCCAACATGTCGCAGGAGGATTGCGTGGAGTTTGTCAAGAAGGGTTGGTACCTTGCTGAATTCTTATAAAAAAAGAATTAGTTCTCATACTAATCCATGTTTTATATTGTCCCACAGCTGTTCAGCACGCCATTTATCACGACGGCAGCTCCGGTGGTGTGGTGCGCATTGGCATTATCACCAAGGATGGAATTGAGCGTCGCATTTTCTACAACACAGAATCGGGTGCCTCAGAGGTCTCTAGTACTCCCAGCTTTGTATCCGCGAAATAGATAAAGAACGCTCCGAATTAAGGTCGATCAGAGTAAAACTCTGTCTTATTCAAATAAACTTGGTTTTTGTAATATGGATATTTGGTTAATTTGTATTTTGGCTCTTCTGGCAGTACAAAAGTTAAGTCTCTACGGGCTAAATAGTAATAAATAATCGAAAACCTATCCTAAAATACGTAGTCATACAAATAGTGCTGTTCCTGACACTGGTCCATGCTCACAACCCAGATAACTACTGCGACGTGTTCGGAAGGTTCCCTACAGGAAAGCCAATCCGCCGCCTATCACATGGCAATCAATACCTTACATTCTTGCTTAAATTCTACTCCGAAGCAGCAATTTATGAATTGAGCTTGGTCACTTCCTCTGCTGCGTCCACAGACTGTGTTTCCATGGACTTGGTGGTGGCGCGTCGCTGCCTGCGGTGGCGGTAGTAAATCTCCGGGGTCCAAACCAGAACCACCAGCAGAAGAATTATACCCTGAACATACAGGCAGATAACGTAGGAGTTGGCGTAGTCCCGCACCCAACCCAGCAGCTGACCCACTGTAATGACGATCACGCCCTTCGACATCATGCTTAATCCCAGCCCTCCGGCCAGTTTCTCCGAGCGACAGTGTGCCGATATCGTGAGATTGTTATTAATCACAGTGGCCGACTTCATCATGCCGGTAATCGCTGACACGGCGATGATCACTGGCAGCGCTTGATTCTCGGCCAGCACACAACGGGCGACAAACAGTCCAGCGATTCCTATTAAAAACACCACACGATATGGGATTCTTAGGTGATCAGTGATGATGGGCAGTAGGAGTCGGCATACAATATCAGCTCCTGCCACCACGGACATACAAAAAGCCACCATCTGACTGTTCAAACCAGCTGTCTGTCCCAGAAAGCCCGGAAAGATCATCGTGAAGTTAATGGTGGCTGTGTATACAAGAGCCATGCCGACAATTATGCTCCAGAAGACCAGATCCTTGAGCAACTCCAGATCCATGGCCTCCACCAGACGCTGTCCCATACGTGCGCACAAAGTATCTGTTATTGGTGGTATTGCCTCGCTTTTGCTTTGGTTAGAAGAAACAATAACCACTTGGAGTGGACTAGATTGAGTTTTTTCGCCTTCCGCCTCGGCAAGAAGGCGAATGTGCTTGCGGTTATTGTGCTTTGTTGGAGGGTTTAAAGGTTTCAAAAAGGCGGCACCAAAGAGCTGTAAATTAAGTGGAATATTAGGGATATGTTAAAGTATAATAATTTTCTGGGCACTTACTCCAGTTAGTGATAAAGTTGACATAGACAGCACTGCGTAGCGAAAACCGTGGTTCTCTAGGAGATAACGCACCAGATGTGGGATAAGCACCTGTCCCAGCCCAGCTCCGGCCAGAGAGACACCCACAGCCCGTCCACGCTTGGTAGTGAAATATGAGTTGATGGCCATAAATGTGGATGGCGATATCAATCCCAAACCGAAGCCCACAAAAAAGCTATAACCCACGATGAAGTGCCAACTTTGGGTGCCGAAGGCGCAAAGAGCTAAGCCAAAGGATACTAAGACACACCCAGTGGCGGCCACATTTCTAGGCTTAAAGCTTTTAATGGCGGGTCCAATAAAGAGTCCGGAAAAGTTCAGAGCCAAGCTGTTCAAGTTGGTGATCAGAGCCGCCGTAAAGGTGTCTTCCTTCATTTCATTTAGTTCATTGACAAAGAGCTGTCCAAATACGGACAATATGGACTGGTTGGTCATCTGAAAGAGAAAATACAAAGGATTAAAAAAATATTGTTTCAATAAAGTGTAAAGATCACTTACATTAATCAAGGCTACGGCAGCCACCACAATCCATCCGTAGCCACCATCAGGGACAACTCGACTGGTCTGCACATCCATGTCTGAGCTCTCCGAATTTTTCTCTGAGATTAAGCTGGCTAAAAGTATAGATAAGAGGACCGTTAAAACGTCTGCTATTGTTTACTGATGTCTAAATTGAGGTGTAGAAATTTGCGTCCTGATAAGCTTGTCAAATTGCACTTACACATCGGAGACGAGGTGAACGGGTCGTCTCGGCGACTTCCCCAAACTGCGTGGCCATTTCGTAAACAATGTATTAATAAATTAGGCTGAATTAAAGCCTAAATTAAAATAAATTAATCCCCAAAGTCGCCAAACTTTGCTTTAGTATGACCGAATTGTGAAAACAAAAAAAAAAGACGCTACAACTGCGCAATAATACTGCAAGTGGTTTGAAATATAATTTATTGCATTTAACAACTTCTCGGGTGTTCATTTTTAGAACATGGCTTTGCTATTATATTTTTGCTATTTATTATCAATAAATTTAAAATTATTAAGACTAACCAAATCTACCGACAATGCGGAGGTATTTGAACAGCAAAATTTTGGTCACACTATTCCAATCAGCTGGGCATCGGCGAGTTGTTTTTTGTAAATTAAAACGCATTTCAAAGGAATTCCGCATTTACTTGTTAACTTTAAAAACAAATGCCTTGCTTGCTGTGCACGCAGAGCGCGGATGGTGCTGTGGGCAACATAGAATTCGCCTCAGAAGAGGCGTATTCACTGGGTCTGCGATGCATAATCGAAAAACACTTCTGGCTGAAGGTAAACAAAAGGAGCGCCCCGTTTTCCGGCTCAACTTTTTATTAAAGAGGGTTTCCTGCTTGCAGATTCCGGACTCGAGCATTGGCTATGTGTGCGGTAGCTGCTGGGAGCAGCTTTTCCTTTTCCACAACTTCTACGTAAGCGTGGAGCAGGCTCACAAGGCGCTGGAACAAACGGTTCTTGAGGAGGCATCTCCTCCAGAAGAAGCTTTCTATGCTCATGGCAGACAATTAGTTAAGAGCGAGCAGGTGGAGAGCGTTGCAGCTGCCGTTAAGCGGCGGAGGGGGCGTCCCAGAAAAACGGAAAACGCTTCAAACGATGCCAGCGAAGAACTGAAGAGCGTGCTGGAGCAAATCAACCTGAACGAGATAAAAATCGAGTTCCCAGAAGCCGATCTCACCATTGCTGATGTGCTAGAGGATCAAGAGGAATTAGATTTTCTACCAAACGATTGCATTAGCGGGGAAGAGGATGAAGATGAGTCAGAGGGTTTGGAGGAGCCCCAGCCAAAGATCAAGAGAAAGGTTCGCGGGCGACCAAGGGGACGAGGAAAAGCGCGACTCCCGGAGCGTCCAAAAAAAAAGTCGGCCTTCAAAACATTAAGAAGTCGCAAGAGTTCAATGACTTTATTCGCGAGCACTACAAAGTGCAGTGTCACATCTGCAGCAAACCCATGGAAGGATTTTCCGAAATGCTGGTGCACGTACGGCGCGAGCATAAGCAGCGGGGCTACTCCATGTGCTGCAATCGTAAATTCTGGAAGCGTGGCGTCCTCGTAGACCACTTACGTCGTCACCAGGACCCCGAGCTTTTTAAGTGCTCCATCTGCGCTCGCGTGATGGGCCAGCGCCGTAGCCTGGAGCTGCATATGCGCATGCACGAGATTAAGACACGCGGACGCCTTTACCACTGCGACCATTGCTCCAAAAGTTTCTACAGCTCTGTGGTTTGCGAGAGGCACAAGCTCACGCACATTCCTCGGGAGCAGTGGCAGGTGAAGTGCACCCACTGTGAGAAGACGTGAGTTTCAAAAGCACCTTATTGTTTCTCAAAAATTTAACGATAGATTCTGTAGTTTTCCAACCCAGTACACAATGCAGCAGCATGTGAAGCTGGTCCATTTGAATTTATACGCCAAGATCTGTGATGTCTGTGGAAAATCAATCAGGGGACGCGAAGCCTTGGCCCGCCACATGGAGGAACACACAGGCGCGCCGCAGTCAGCCATTAAGTGCCATTTGTGCGATTCCATGCTGACCACCAAATATGGACTGGCCCGGCACATAAAAATGATGCACACAGAGGAGAACCTACAGCCAATGCAGTGCGAGATCTGCCTTAAAATCTCGCCTAGTTTGCAGGCGCATCAGCACCACATCAAGTACACCCACAAAACGGCTCGCAGTCACCAGTGTCCGATGTGCGAGAAGGCTTTTAAAAGACCCAACGAGCTGAGGGTAATCTTTGCAAAACTAATCACATAAATATTAGTATTTAATAATGCTTTGCAGGAACATATGACAACGCACACGGGAGAGGTGCTGTATACCTGCCCCCACTGTCCCCAGACTTTCAACTCGAATGCCAACATGCACGCCCATCGAAAGAAGGTGCATCGCAAGGAGTGGGAGGAAAACCGCCACCAACGTATTAACCGTCCTCGGAAATCGGACACGATTATCGCGGTAAGCGTGCGCAAAACCACGGAGGCCAGACAGGATGAAGGGAAAGGAGCTGCAGGCGCGTTAGTGTTACCGAATAGCCCTGGACCAGAGTGCTAGCCCTACGTGACCTTTTGACCCAATAAAAACCAAATCAGAAACTACAGCTGTTGTTGTGCTTAAAGCGACAAGCGGGGTAAACAATTTGTAAGAAATTTAATTGAAAACCCTGCGCAACGATGGGATCAACCGGCTGTAACCGGTTTACTCATCTGCAGCCCAATCATCTCGAACTGGTATAACGGACATCGGAGCCGGCGTTATCAGCGATTAAGGTCGAATCTGGTAATTTATATAGACGCATATAGCACATGGTTCAGTTTGTAATATTCTTATTTTGACGACGATCAAGTCGCGATGCCAGGCTCAGGCAGACCAGAAAACCGGTTCGAGTCAGTTTAGAAAAGTGGATTTAATCCTTATCAGCGAATTGGTATTATCATGCTCAGTTCAAAGGTACCATCAATCGGAGTGTGTTAGTACACATTCTAGTCTTCTGCGGAATCTTCAATCTGTGCCATAGAAATGACGAGACATATTCTTTTGGATTGTTTTCAATCTTTGGTAACATATTATTTACCAATGGAATATTTTGCAAGCCACACAAGATGTCGTAAATCAGCCACGATCTCTGTTCTTTTTTTTGTATCTCCCCTTCGTTATTTGTGATTCCCATGGGATTTAGTAATTCCCAGGCCTTTATTTTTTTATTATTTACTTTTATGGGAGGCTATTAATTGTAATCTATAAGAAATTTTATTGCCGTCCTCAGCAAAAACAATTTGAAGGGATTCCCGGCCTATTTCGTCAAGGGTGCATATATTCCATTTCTTTTTCTGCGGAAAATGTTATCTTCAGACAAAAATATATACATACAACTTTAAGTGATTTCCTGCCAAATTTGCCGACCCACGCATATTTTAATCCTTTTTTAATGGGAAGCTAATAACAGTTTTCTTTTAATTGTTGGGTAGTCAATTATTCATTGGTTTTACAATATTTACAAAAAAAAAACATTGAACGCTTTTAAAGTAAGTTGTTTACAGCTATTTGATATTTTTCTTATTTAAATTAAGAAAGAACTATAATCCAAATTGACAGTAAAGTACTTACTTCAATTAGGTAATTTAAATATTCACAAAGTCACTGTTTACTTTTTTGAGACGTTGTTTGTTTAATTTCACACTATCACTGTGCCGCTTTCGGTTCTCTAGATTTGATGCTTATCGCGCAACGAGCAAATATTGTTTGAACAGAAATGCCAGTCCAGGCCGCCTTTATATTTGTGAATGGAATCTGAAAAAGAAAACGAAACGGACTATTTCCTGTCAATATGGCGGGATTCAATTTCGCAACTCGGCTTGGCGCCAAATAAGCGATGACTATCGATTGTTCGTAAATCAATTGTGTTATCAATTGTTTAAAATAATATTAAGCAAGTAAACGATGATATTTTAGAGAAGTCTGCTTAGTTTCTATAAAGCCTTAACAAAAATTATGAATAAACAAACGATTTATATCTCGACCCCCCTAAAAAGCTTTCGCCTACCCCACTGCTTGCACCCACCTCGCTCAGCTGTTGCAGCTATCTCTTTCGCACCTCTAAACGCGAAACGTGTCAACTCAACGTCTTTGTTTTCCCCCTGAGTTTTCCTTAATTTTGGCCATTAACCAGACGATATGGTGGACGATAGCACCCGGAAAACGCTAAGCAACATTCCCCTTCTACAGATTCGCGCTGGGCCTCGAGAAAAGGATGTGTGGGTGCAGCGACTGAAGGAGGAGTACCAGGCTTTAATTAAGGTTTGCAGATTCGTATTAAGAAGTGACCACTTTAAAGATTCCGCTTACCAACCCACACCCACAGTACGTAGAGAATAACAAACAATCTGGCAGCGACTGGTTCCGACTGGAGTCCAACAAGGAGGGCACCAAGTGGTTCGGCAAGTGCTGGTACATGCACAATCTGCTCAAGTACGAATTCGATGTGGAGTTCGACATTCCAGTGACATATCCAACCACCGCGCCGGAGATTGCTCTACCAGAACTTGATGGCAAGACGGCGAAGATGTACCGTGGAGGCAAAATTTGTCTGACGGATCACTTTAAGCCATTGTGGGCCAGGAATGTGCCAAAGTTTGGTATCGCCCATGCCATGGCACTGGGTGTAAGTATTTTTTCCATTCGTTTTTTATAACTGATCTCTTATTGTAAACTCGTTCCTCACAGCTTGCTCCGTGGCTGGCCGTGGAGATTCCAGACCTCATCGAAAAGGGCATTATTACGTACAAGGAAAAGTAGATAACTAAAGTAGAGGAAATTACTGGCAACAAAAACATGAACAAAGTTAAATATGAAAGTCATTTATCTTTGCGTTTATTAGTCAAAAGTCAAATTGGAAAAGATCATTTCTGCGTTCCTCCATCGTCGCGTAACCTAGGTGTCTAAGTGGTAAGAATTTCATTTGGTTGATTCAGTTTGATCAGTGAGCTTGCTTCTTGTCACTCCCCTAGTTCATCTGATTGTGGTTGTTGTTGCGCTGCGAGGACTGGCGCCATGCGTCGGACCAAATTGAGCTGGGCGAGGTGAAGGGGTCGTACTGCGTGGGCAGGCTCTCGCCGGGAACTGCAGACCCAGTTCCAGGTGCCGCTCCCGCAGAGCCGGGTTCTTGTGCAAGATTGTGCGTTTGCCGTGCGTTTTGCTCCAGTCCTGGTGGAGGTCGTATCACACCCAAGCCGGGTGCAGCTTCTGGCCAGGAGGAATAACCTAGCGGCGTCCAGTTGGTGGCCCAATTGCTCGGCTCCATACTCGCAAAAAGCTTTTCCTGTTGCCTCTGCTGGATCTCAATTTTCTGTGCCTGCTGAAGAAGTAACTGTTGCTGCATGATCAATTCGCTGCGCTCCCACTGCTGCCTTTCTCGCTCCCGTTGTTCATAGATAGCTTTAAAAAAAAGAGTAGAAGTCCATTAGCAGCTGGAAATGGCTTATTGCCCCAAGTTACTTACTATCTGCTGTTGGAAAATCAACTTCTCCGTTAGCAAATAACGAATTATTGGCCGTAGCTGACAAAGGTTCCCACAACGACGACATCATCGGCGGTGTTGGGTTTTTGCGGCTGTCTCCTATCGATCCTAGATCACTCGAGGACGAACCCTGACCCCAAACCAAACCGTTGCTAGTGGGCGCAAATTGCTGAGTCTGGAGCGCATCTCGGAACGAGACGCCACTGCTTGTCTCCCAAGGCGTGCTGATGCATTTTAGAGCGTCCGGCGAAGCTGGTGGTGAGGCGCTGTTCGTGGTCTGCCCGAAGTTCAGCTTCTGGCGCTGCTTTCGCTCTGGTTTTTTAAATCCCACTCCAGCACCAGAGCCATTCGTCAGCTTTTGTTCCTTACGCCGTTCCCTTTCACGCTCCCTCCCCGGTGTCTTGCCCATTTTCTTGGCTGAGCCATTCTGCTCCTTCAGCACGCGAGGTTCTGGTGCCTTGTTTGGCTTCGGCGATATGTTTTCCTGTTGTGGGGGGCTCGACTTGGCCAACGGTTTTTCGTATTGCTCTACTACAGGAGTCGAGGGTTCCGGCTTAGGTTTGGATGGCACAGGAGCCACTGCAGAGGTAGGCTTAACTTTCTTTTGAGGTCTAACTGGAACTTGGGCGGCAGCTGCCTGAGGCGATGGCGTTGAAGATTTTTTCACGGGTTTTGGTTCCGGTGGCGGAGCGGCGGCAACAGCAGCAGGAGGAGGAGTGACTGGAGTGCTAGCCACCGTCTTTGGTTTCGATTTTTGCAGGTGCTTACTCAGCGCATTCATATCCATGTTCCACGGCGACCAAGAGGACTTGGATGACTTAGACTTAGATGTCGCGTTTAGGACAGTTCGCTTCCGGAGTTCTTTAAGTTGACCATTTCTGGCCTTCTGCTGCTGCTGCACTGCTTCCGCTTTAGCAGCCGCTTCCTCCGCTTGTAGCTTCACAATATTTCGTAGATTAAAGGTGGGCTGCAGAGGTCCCTTATTCCTGGCCGCATCGTAGGCGCTCTGCTGAGTCATAATAGCTTTTGCGTCAAAAACAGCAGCCACCAGGACCAGTCCAAAGCTGGCCAGTAGTACAACAAGAGCAGCGTTTTTAAGGGAGGACTCCCATGCAGGTCTCACCAAGTGGGAGGCGCACAGTTCTACACTTTCAGCGGGCAATTGTGCGAGGAGGACATAGCTAATGTCGTAGGTAAGGTTCGTGAGCAGCGTTAGTGAACGTTTGACTCTCGAGGAAGTAAAGTCCGTGCTGAAGGAAATCTCCACTTTGCGAGTTTCGTTCTCTCCGAGATCAAAACCCTCACAGTCCATCACTTTGAAGCCAAAGTCCTCGCAGGGCAGAGATCCAATTAGGAAGCCTTCGATCCTCATGGGAATTATACCCGAGTTGCGAGCCGTGAAGCTTCTTGTGGCCACCACTGCTCCATTGCCAGCTTCGCAGCCCTGGAACTGGTCGGTGGTCATCTCGAAGAGCAACGGCGAGGCAGATCCCGGACGACGATTTCCGAAACGGAACTGCGACTGCACGGCACGGGCCTGCAGCCATACGGCTTCGTAAAGAGTAAGATTACTTCTCACGTGCAGCAGCGTGCAGTACTTCTCTGGCAGCTGAGCACTAAAGGTGATGGGAATGTTCAAACTAGAACCTCCTGGAAGCAGGATGGGATCCCCGGCATTTGGCAGGGAAAATACCTCCCTATCCGTCAGATAGCAACTCGTGGAGCTCACGTCGATCACTTCGTGCGGTAGGGAAAGCTGCGTACGGCGGGCGAAGACCGGATCCGATAGGTAATAGTCAAGCACAATCGGATTTTGCGAGGGGTTTGAAAGCGTGATCCATTGGCGCTGCACCTGGCCAACCTCTATAGCTGGCGTTGGCGGGATCGGCTGAAACTGAACTAGCTTGGGCCACTCTATTGGAATTGAAAAGTCCAGCTCCAGCGGTGGCAACTCGTCGCTGTGCAGCGTGAGCGACACTGAAGACATTTGGCGGCGCAGCTTCCTGAAGAGCTCTGTGCGCTGCCTCAACTCCACTCCGTCATAGAGGAGATTATTGTTGATAACGCCGCCGTTTCCATCGCCCCCTCCAGGAACGCTGGGAAAGATGGCTTGGTCATTCGTAGACTCCTTAATGTAGCACTGATCTCGACACACAGCCGCCGGTTCAAAATAGATTCGACCCACCTTGGTCAGCGTCTGCGGAGCGATCGTAGTGCCCTTGGCATTAAAATCCTTAAAGCGCAGGCCCACCGGAAGGGCAAAGGATATGCTTTTCACGTGCACTGACTGCGTGAAGCTAGAGCGGATGCTTAGCACGGCGCTGCACATTTTGCCAGGAAAGCAGTTCTTGAAGTTGAGCTGCTCCTGCTCAATCTCCAACTGCCCCACGGAGGCCTCGAACTTAACACGCACGCGAATCACCTCGTGCGGCGTCCAAACCTTGAGGGTCCCAAACGTTGCTTCCGCCTCGTACGTTTGGATGGCCACCTTGAATACGGCGCTGTCACCGGCTCCGAGTTCAGTGCATAAGCGCCAAAACTGGGTAATGTTCCCCATGTTAATCGGCTCCTCCGACGACCGACAGCCAAGGAAGGTGCTCCGCGAGTAGACGGTCTTTGGGTGCTTGAAATACCAGTTGCTGATCTTTACAGGCGTCGGATTATCGTTTCGCAGAATCACATAGCCGTCATGCGACATCTCGGCGAATGGCACAGTCCCTAGATCTAGCTCTAGGTTGTATGCCTCTTCCTCCTTCGGAAGAAGTTTAAGCACAAATGGCTGCGTGGACACATGTAGAAGTCCACTGCATGAGACCAGGGGAATATTGAAAACCGTGACGTTCGTCTCGATCCTCAGAAAGGATTTGAAGGGCACCTGTTCGTTTAGCAGATTCAGGCGCAAAAGCTCCACGGACTCGCCTGGCTGCAATAGTATCCTGCGATCGCCCACTAGTTCCACCTCCAAAATGGATTCGTCTACGGGATCGCTGAGACTGACGTTGAACAGGACGAGAGGCATTTCAAAGCTGTTGCGCACCACCAGTGACCGCTTCCTCTCCAGCGGTGGGCCATCTCCGCCTTCTGCAGAGTTCGTCACAAACTTTGTGACATTTACGTCGAAGTGGAGTCCTCCTTGAAAGATTTCCGCTCGCACCAGCACCGTGAATGGCTGATCCGTTTCCAGACTGGAACTGGACTGGTTACTGCTTATCACTAGCAAATCATTAATGGGCTCGCTGCCTTCAAACAGCCTGGGATCCAACACAATGGTCGTTTTGTTGGAGTCGAACGAAAGCCCAGGAATCTGGCGCAGGTATCTGCCGAATAGCAAGCTACTCTCGTCGTTCCGAACATCCAGTTTGAACTGCAAGGCATCCGGAGAATTTAAGGTAGCCACACGGCCAAAGTCTGCCAGCGGATTGCGGGCGTAGGGCGTATGTCGTGGCAAAATTTCGAACTCGACGGGGATAACCAGGATATTCTCCAGGTCAAGATCCAGTTCCTGCTCGGAGATCTTGATGCGGATGTAGGCGCTGTGGTTGCCAGCGGTGCGGCCGTGAAAGGAGATCCTGATGACCGGCTTCAAAGTGTGTGGCGGAATCTCCCACAGATTCTGTGGCCCTTCCGATCCGCCGCTGGGCAGCTCCAATTGGAACTCGCCGCCGCTGCTGTATATCTGTTCCGAGAAAGTGATGAAACCAGGAATAAACATTTTGCAAAAGTTCTTTTACCTCCAGTATCTGCAGCGGGTGCTCGTGCGGGTTGTACATGTGAATCTCTGGCGTGAGCGTCGCATTAATGGGTGCCTTGATCCCCACCAGTGGCTTCAGGCGGTACGGGCACTCACTGCCCTCCCCTCGCACCTCCAACTCGGCCTGGCCGAAGGAGGTGTGAATAAGCAGGTCGCCAGCAATGGCGCCCAGTTGCCTTGGTAGGAATACCACGCTGAATGTGGTATTGCCCTGGGGCGGCACTTCCCTGCTGCCGAGGAAGCTGCTATAGAAGGCGGGACTTGGGCCGGCCACGGCATTAAGCTGTAGCGTTCGGTTGGCGTGCTGATTGAACAGCGTCACCGTCTGGGAACGCGCCTGGCCGACGGACCACGTTCCAAAGTCTAGGCGGGACGGCACGAGCCGAAGGTCGCGCAGCAGTTCACCCAGGTCTTTGGCCGGCGGATCCTGGAGCCCCAAAAAGCCCTCCTGCAGCACCTTTTCGCCGTGGGCACCCAAGGAGAGGAGGCAGATGAGGACGAGCAGGAGGGGTTCTGCAAATAGCCGCTGAAGCGGTCTCAGCTGGACCTGTGTGTTCATGTTGTGTATTCCCGTGTGTTTGTGTGGGCGGCGGTATCGCGGCTCCGGCTGTCCACCTTCCTGTCCAGCTGCTAGTCGTTCGGGTTATCCTTAGCTATGCTTTATTAATATTATTTTTATAATATTATTATTATTTTATTATCGCTGTTTATTATCCAATATCGCTGGCTGCAAAGTAATCGATTTTAAACTTTTTGTAAAACATCGATTAAGATGTTGTGAATCGATGTTTTTTATAAAACTTCAAAATTGTTCAATTTAAAAATCAACACAAATCTATCTGTTTTTTTTGCATTATGCAATTTTTTTTTTTTTTTTAAGCACTGATAGATTTAGTTTCACCATATCGTGAACATATCATAACGTTAACATTAAGTTATTTGCATTTACATCTCATATTTGTAGCGCCATTAAATTGAAACATTCAAAGAGCATAAGCTAAATGTTTCAAATTAAAAATATTAATGCCATTATAAATTAAATCAACTGCTGCATAATAACTTTCAGTGTACTTTGCATTTACTACAAATAATTTTAGGGCATACTCCCAGTCGTTCTGTAACTGAGCAAAAAAGTATGCAACAAATAATACACTTCCAAAAAATATATCGTCATGTATCCGGTGAAAGAGTTATCGCACTTCACACATCGTTCCACATCGCCATCACTAAGAAGAAAACGACAACCAAAAGAAAGTTGCAGTTTAGTTTACGTGTTAAATTTAATCGCAGGTCGTGAAGCTGATATAATTAAAGTGAGTGCCTTCGACGTTAACAAAGCCCTGTGGCTGCATCTACCCTCTACTTAATGAAGAACTGGCGGGAATGGCAAAAAAAAACATGACAAGAAGAGACTTCGCAAAGATCGCCTGAGTTGCTATACAACCGAACACACACACACATATGTATAATCAAATCTTGCAAAAAAATATTAATGCGAAATGTGTAAATGTTTTGCAATAAATAGTGGTGCAGATTTACGGCTCTTTTACCAACAAACGGTGATGCAACGGCCTTATTGATTTTACCCACTTTCACTTTAGCCCAGCGCCAGTTTTCGGTTTCGGCTTTAGTTTTAGTTTCACCAGACCCACCATTTAATTTCCATACGCATCAGTTAAAGGCATGAACTTCGTTTCCAGATGTAAATTAGACCCGTGTGTACTTGCAAAGTCATGAGCCCCTTAAAATGTGCTCTTTTTGAATTAGATTCAATGTATTTCCGATTTGCGAGCAGAACCCCTTGAGCTATTTAGGTTTACATTTTTATCGGAGAAAGTTTAGCCCTTCTATAATGTGACCCACTGTCTAACTTGGTTTTTGGTTGCAATGACATTTTTCAAACCGGTTCCGCGAAAAAAACGTTCCCCCACTCAATGGTCCAGGGCGTGATCCCGTTTTAGAGCCCTAATCTCCTGGGTAACTCGAGATCGAAAGAGCGGGAGAGCCATATATATCACCCGAAATTCTAAAGACCCGAAACCCGAAGCCGAAGCAGCGCTACGAAATCAAAATCAGAATACGCCTGTTGCTGTGGCTCATTTTCATGGCTGGTGCTGTCGCGCATTTGATTTCAGTTTACTCCCAGACTCGACGACGTGCAGGTTGACCAACTGTCAGGTTCCCCAGCACTGCTGAAAACCCAGCACGCACACTTAGAAACAAACTCGAAACCTATTGCACCTGCACACAGTCGTGCTCTCTAATCAATTCTAAGTAAATAAATCAAAGTTTGAAAGTACAGGCAAAGTCAAACGGTACGCGCGAAGCCCGAGAGCCTCCTCTATTCGTCTTTGAACAAGGCTTACGAAAACTATATATCTTTATTGATCTCTGTATTACAGCTCCAACATGTCGGCGAAAGCAATCACGGAGGCCTCTGGCAAGGACATCCTGAACCGCCATCTCAATACCCACGGCGCAGGCGCGGCCACCTGCCGCTTTGCCACAGTGAACGCCACGACAGACTGGTCCAAACTCGCCGTCGACCAGCCCTGGCTGCTGACCACGGTGAGTGCCATTTAAAAATAGCCGCGGAACTCGCAGATTGCGAGTCAGTCGATATGCAGGAACAACAATTGGGCCAGCGACAAACAAACGCTTGGCGGGATTGTCATTGAACTTGACCTCGCACGCTGCCGTCGGATGACTAATCGTGGCTCCTGATAAGCGCGGTTTTGGGCGCCAGACATACGAGTGGCTGGCTAGAAGCTGTGGAGTCAGCAAGCTCACCCCATGGCGCAATCGGTTTTTTATCAGATAGCCGGACTCCCAGCCGCAGGTCGCGTGGCATGGCGTGGTCACTGGCCGATTGGTTATCCGCAGGCGGATCAGGCTCACCTCATTTGCGAGCACGATAAGCGTGCGTGGAGCACTTTGGGAATCTCGATCACGCACCTATCTCTGATTGACCTTCCGATCGATAGTGGAAAGTTTAGCTGAAGCAAAGTACTTATCGTGAGGGTGACGCTTTATTATTGAGGTTGAGTGGGCTATTCAGGGAAATAATATGTTGTGTTTTTGCATGGGAACCCTATCGGCAGTTGAAATCTTATCTTAAAGTTCTTTGTTGATTTTCGAGGGAGCGTCTTGACATGTGAGTCTTATCTAAAAATTGTATGTGAGTCTTATCTAAAAATTGTATGCGGCTTAGTTTTAAAATTATCAATCGTATTTATTGTACGGGCTTAATTTGTCCTTTTGGTTATTGGTTATTCTGGGAAACTATAGCAAACGAATTTATTACTCAGAAAGTCGTATTTTTAAGTTATTTGTTTATTTTTGAGAAGAGGCTTTTTATTAGGTATTCCCTTAAAGTAGAAGTCGAAGAAATAATAATCTTATCTTAATCTCGGGGTCCTGAAATTAAACGTGAGATTCCCTATCAATTTGTAGAAAATGTACTTCAATTTTTATCTCTAGTTAACGAATTAATTATTTTGGGCAAACCACGTCGGTGCTTTTTCGCTGGTAGTTACCCACTTTAGTCAACATAGTCAGCAAATTCTTCGTGACTATATTTGCTAAAGAATACCCCCTGATAAGATGAAGTGCGATGGGTAAACACTTGGCAATAATCTCAACAAATAAAAGTCGCACAAAAGCAAAACAATGCACAGCGGTTTACTCAGGTGTTTCATATAAAAAAGCATACAAGTTTTTGATTCATATTGATTTAAAAATGTTGTTTATTTGTTTATTTGTGATACATATTTTACAAAACTACAACTTTAAAGTATCATATTTTAAATTGTAGTTAGCGTTTACCATAAAAGCAAACAAATACTTCGCAATGAAGACAGTTTTTTCGGCTATATTTACAATACAAAGCTGATCGCCTGACGACTCGGATGACTTTTTGTACTCGTTCTGTTTGCTCAATTTACACTCGTATGATCTTCTAATAAGCGTTTGAGATGTGTTTTTGTGTGTGCTCAAGTACAAGTTCGGGTAAGGGTACGAGCACTGGCATTGTCATTGCCAATGACGCGGGAACGACCCCTGGTGTTATCGGCTGATCTTGCCGACAGATGGCGATCGTTGGAACCGGCTTTTTGCTGACGCCGAGCTCAGCAGGCTAGAGTTCAACGATTTGTCTCCTTTTTTACCATATATTTAACACCCATTTAATTAACACTGTGCCTTCCTTTGTTGCAGCCACTGGTGGTAAAGCCTGATCAACTGATCAAGCGTCGTGGAAAGCTGGGATTGATTGGCGTAAAGAAAAACTTCGAGCAGGTTAAGCAATGGATTGGCGAGCGCCTCAACAAGGACCAGAAGATCGGCAATGCCGTGGGCAAGCTGCGCAACTTCATCATCGAGCCCTTTGTCCCGCATACGGATGTAAGTTGTCAACAGATTCAGAGCGTATCTTTTAATATTATATTAAACTAATTTAGGCCGAGGAGATGTACGTGTGCATTTACTCGCACCGCACTGCGGACACGATCCTGTTCTACCACCAGGGAGGCGTGGATATTGGCGATGTGGATGCCAAGGCCGTGAAGCTTGATGTGCCTGTGAACTCTACACTGTCGCTGGCCGACGTCAAGACCAAGCTATTAAAGGAGGTTAAGGATGCCGGCACCAAGGAGCGCATTGCAAAGTTCATCAGCGCCCTGTACACAACCTTCGTGGATCTGTACTTCACTTACCTAGAAATCAACCCTCTGGTGGTGACTGCCGACAATCTGTACATTTTGGATTTGGCGGCCAAGCTGGACTCGACCGCTGATTTCATCTGCCGTCCCAAGTGGGGCGAGATTGACTACCCACCTCCGTTCGGACGGGATGCCTATCCCGAGGAGGCCTACATCGCCGATCTGGACGCCAAGAGCGGGGCTTCCCTCAAACTGACGATCCTGAATCGTAATGGTCGCATCTGGACGATGGTGGCAGGCGGTGGAGCCAGTGTCATCTACTCGGACACAATCTGTGATCTGGGTGGAGCCTCGGAGCTGGCCAACTATGGAGAATACAGTGGAGCTCCTTCGGAGCAACAGACGTACGAGTACGCCAAAACGATCCTTAACCTCATGACCTCCTCGCCAAAGCATCCGGATGGCAAGGTGCTGATTACTGGAGGTGGCATTGCCAACTTTACGAATGTTGCGGCGACCTTCCAAGGTGAGCTAGTGCAGTCTTATCTTATCGGTCATCGATCTTAATGTTTATATTCCTCGGTGCAGGTATCATCACCGCCCTGCGCGAGTTTCAGCCCAAGCTGGCCGAACACAATGTATCGATCTTTGTGCGACGTGCCGGACCCAACTACCAGGAAGGTCTCCGAAAGATGCGAGACTTTGGTAGCACCCTGGGAATCCCACTGCACGTTTTCGGACCCGAGACCCACATGACCGCCATTTGTGGAATGGCGCTGGGCAAGCGACCCATTCCCCAAACGGCCAGCGTGGAGTTTTCTACGGCCAACTTCCTTCTGCCCGGCGGTCAGCAGGCACAAGCGGACCTCAAGGCTTCCATTGAAGCCACCGAAGCACTGGGCTCCGGTTCCGGTAAGTAAAGTGGCATGGATTGTGAAGTAGCTGGCTGTTAAATGAGTTTGTGTGCTGCTAACCCGGGATATCACTAATCCATTTTAGCTGTTTGTATCCCTGCAATGGACTGCAATACATCGATCGTCCTCACTTATTTGATCTCTTTCTCTCTCTTTTCTCTCTCTGTATTTGTATGTTTGCATTGCTCGCGTTCGACTACAACGACAACCCCACTTGTCGCCACACTCACCAAAAAAATTATAAAAAAATACACATAAAACCACCACCAAATTAATACCTCTACCAATTTGAAATGCTCGTTTGGCCAACCGATTTGCACCCGATCCGATCCGATTCCACTTGATCTGATCTTTCATAACCCCGACTTCGTGTAATGTGTGTTTTGTGTCTCGTCCTGGTTTGTCAATCTTCTACACGTCCTGATCTCGCTTTCTGCTCCTCCATCATCATACAATCGATCCCCGATATCGATCTCGCCTCTCGACTCGTTCCATTTGGGATAGCCCTGAGCCCGACCGCAGCTAAACCGATTAAACTACCACCTATCTCAGCAGATGAGGGCGACAGCGCGGGCGTCGCTGGTGCCACTCGCAACGGATCGAGTCTGAACCGAAAGTTCTTCTCAAACACCACCAAGGCGATTGTGTGGGGCATGCAGCAGAGGGCAGTCCAGTCGATGCTCGACTTTGATTTTATCTGCAGGTGAGTTTCAGTGAGGTTTGAGTAAAGGCTCTCAAAATTTTTTCAGTTTCCGGTCAAGAGTTTTAATTAATCGTTTTCTTTTAGACGCGATGAGCCCTCTGTGGTGGCAATGGTTTATCCCTTCACTGGCGACCACAAGCAGAAGTACTACTGGGGTCACAAGGAGATCCTCATTCCCGTCTACAAAAAGATGTCCGATGCCATCCATAAGCACAAGGAGGTCGACGTCATGGTCAACTTTGCTTCCATGCGCAGCGCTTACGAGTCGACGCTTGAGGTGCTCGAGTTCCCCCAGATTCGCACCGTGGCCATCATCGCCGAGGGCATTCCGGAGAACATGACCCGCAAGCTTATTATTGAGGCGGATAAGAAGGGAGTTGCTATTATTGGACCCGCTACTGTGGGAGGAGTTAAGCCCGGTTGCTTCAAGATCGGCAACACCGGAGGTATGCTAGACAACATCCTGCACTCGAAACTTTACCGTCCAGGCAGTGTGGCGTATGTTTCCCGATCCGGAGGAATGTCCAACGAGCTGAACAACATCATCTCGAAGGCCACCGACGGTGTGATTGAGGGAATTGCCATCGGCGGTGATCGTTACCCGGGCTCAACCTTCATGGATCACATCCTTCGCTACCAGGCTGATCCGGAGACTAAGCTGATCGTTCTGCTCGGAGAAGTTGGTGGCACCGAGGAATACGACGTATGCGCCGCTCTGAAGGACGGTCGCATCACCAAGCCACTGGTGGCATGGTGCATTGGTACCTGCGCCAGTATGTTTACTTCCGAAGTCCAGTTTGGGCACGCCGGATCCTGTGCGAACTCCGATCGCGAGACGGCCACAGCTAAGAATAAGGGCCTGCGGGATGCCGGCGCCTATGTTCCGGACTCGTTCGACACCCTGGGCGAGCTTATCCACCACGTGTACGGTGAGCTGGTAAAGACTGGCCGCGTGGTGCCAAAGGAAGAGGTGCCGCCACCGACCGTACCCATGGACTACTCGTGGGCTCGAGAGTTGGGTCTTATCCGCAAGCCGGCATCGTTCATGACGTCCATCTGTGACGAGCGTGGCCAGGAACTGATCTATGCAGGAATGCCCATCAGCGAGGTTCTCAGTAAGGACGTCGGCATCGGTGGTGTCATCTCGCTGCTCTGGTTCCAGCGATGCTTACCTTCCTACGTGTGCAAGTTCTTCGAGATGTGCCTGATGGTCACTGCGGATCACGGACCCGCAGTTTCCGGAGCTCACAACACCATCGTGTGTGCTCGTGCGGGCAAGGACTTGGTGTCCTCAGTCGTCAGTGGTCTGCTGACCATCGTAAGTTAATGGTACTAAGTATATTAAAAACAATTAACAACATTTTGTATGTGCCTTCTAGGGCGATCGCTTTGGAGGTGCTCTGGATGGATCCGCGCGACAGTTTTCGGAGGCGTACGATACCAACCTGCATCCCATGGAGTTCGTGAATAAGATGCGAAAGGAGGGCAAGCTTATCCTGGGTATTGGCCACCGAGTTAAGTCCATCAACAACCCAGATGTTCGCGTCAAGATCATTAAGGAGTTCGTGCTCGAGAACTTTCCTGCGTGCCCGCTCCTTAAATACGCCCTGGAGGTCGAAAAGATCACGACCAACAAGAAGCCGAATCTTATCCTCAATGTGGACGGTGTGATAGCTACCGCATTCGTGGACATGCTCCGCAACAGCGGATCATTTACCAGGTGAGCGAAGGACTGTGCCAGTACTTGAGACTCAATAGCTAACCGAAATTTTTTTGATTTTCAGTGAGGAAGCACAGGAGTACATCAATGTGGGCGCCATTAACTCGCTGTTCGTGCTGGGCCGCAGCATAGGATTTATTGGCCACTATATGGACCAAAAACGTCTCAAGCAGGGCCTGTACCGCCACCCGTGGGACGACATCTCCTACGTCATTCCCGAGCAGTACAACTAGGCGGGCAAATGGAGCCGCGACGATGTTATATATTTACGTATATACAAGCATATATATTATTCGGAAGTTGTTGTAGTTAAGCACAGATGTATGATGTTAGGCAAGGAGGTCACCCACTCCACTGGCTGGAAGAACCTATCCCGGTCTATCCGCGCATGTGCCTCTCCCCAGTCACCCTTCCCCTCTCACTTAACCTGCATTTAAAGTTCTTAAGTTACCATCATTACCTTCGTTGTTTTTGTAAGTCGTGTGTGCCTCGGAGCCGTAGGAGTTTTGGAATCTGGACCTTAGTGAAATCAAGTGCTCCGAGCCGCACAACACAACAGTACCCAGCATAACACTATTTGATACTTTTATACTTTAGTTTGGATGCTCACAATTGTCTAGACAACAAGAGAATAAATTGTTGCAAAAGCTTAGTTTTATTTTGATACCCCTTTTACTGCTTATTATTTGAATCCCACGCTCCCTTTGCCAGCATCTCGAAGAGAATCGGACACTGCACTAGTTCCTGCTGCACTGAAGCACATTTATTTATAAACAATTACACGAATATATTTACAATGCACAAAAACTGGGCGGCGTCCTTGAGGAAATGCAATTTGCCTCGCAGGGCCTGTCGCCTTGAGAAATTCACCGCAATTAAATCGCACAAATGCTTTGACTAAACTAAACCCGTGAATTGTCTTTTGTCTCTAGCAGTTTAATTTGCTGAATATTTAACAATTTGAAAACGCACACACAACTAAGCGTAGAATCTCATTAAAACCAGGAACCCCGTTACCACTAGCCCGACTCGGCAGGTGGCTCTTATCTCATGCGGCGCATCTTTCGCTCCATTTTTTTTGTTTTTTCTCGTCTACCTCGGGATTCTCGTCCTGAGCGTTGCGCTGCGACAGCCAAGGCTGTATGACAGAGCCCCAGAGCATCCAGCCAGCTCGGATGGGCGCCAGAAGCAGGACCAGCCAGAAGTAATTGGAGATAAGCGCAAGCAGCAAAGTGCCGGAGGTAAGGATTATCAGGTCCTTGACGTTTCTGAAAAGGTAAATTTGATTAGGAATGGGGGCCAAAGACTTTCGAAAGGGCAATTACTCCGCAATGCCGCCCTCCATGTTCAAATCGTTGCCAGAGTCCACTAGAGCTCCGCTTTCAGAGTATTTCGCCTTCGACATGAATGCCATAAACTGGTAGGAGCTGCCAAGTATCAGCAAGGCCAGGATGTGCATAAACTTAAAGGAATGTTCATTAGAAAATGTACTTCAGAAGTCCGCTTCGAATGACTTACCACCGACGTTTTTGTTACTTCAAAGACCAGAAAACCAAGCAGCAAAGCGGGTGCAGCACATCCAATGGCCATGTTCCGGTAGAAAGCCAGTGTCGTCTTGTTTTCCTCTACGATTTGCTTGGCGCCCTTTGTGCCCTGTTTACCCTTTTGTTGGGGCTGTAAGTGAATAAACGATGTTTTTTTATCCTCGAAAGTTTTGTTCTTGTGCTGAGTATATTTACAGCCATGGTGAAATCGCAATTTGTGTGTCAGGAATTTTGAAAACTAGAATCGAATCCACTTTTTACGTGGCGAGAAATCTTTTGCAAAACAAGAGTGTTGAAGAACGCCCGCCTGATATGGAAACAGTGTTGAGAATGTGATTTCTTCTCTTTGACATGGGTGGAGATATAGTTGGACTTTGTAAAACAAATATTAAGCCCTTTTGAAAAAGATTGGGAAATGATTTTTTTTTCTAATAAAACATATAATAATTTTGAATACCCCTACCAATTTCTGCTTCTACGCCATTGCGAAAGTATTTTTCAAAAAGAAAGTCTTGCCAGTCACAGCGAATAGCGCAACAGCTGTTTGCCCCCAGCACAACACTCGACCTTTGGATTTTGGATTTCTTTCATTTTAAATTTAAACAAGCAGCACAACTAGCTGTTAGTTTACATCATGAATATGGACCGGTTGGTGCAGTTAAACAACCAGGCAGGCGGTCGGGACAAGATTGCCCGGCTCATTCAGTATGCGTCGCGGGCGATGTGGGACTCCCTGGAGGCCGCCAATTCCAGTCCCGCGCTGGTGGATAACTTTAAGACGATCGAATACATCCTGAGTACCTTCCGGAAGTGTAAGTATTCCTTTCCTGCACACGACACCCAACTGATTCCTCCCGTTTTCAGTGCTACGCTTTGGCAAGTGCGTGGATGTATTTTACGGTACCCTGAAAACTATCCACCATCCGGACCTCACAATCCGGGTGACGCTTACCCTCAGTAAACTGTCACAGTCGCTGTTTCTGTTTGCCGACCACTTCCTCTGGTTGGCTCGAACTGGACTGACGGCGGTGAACGCCAAGCGGTGGTCCAACATAGCCAACAAATACTGGCTCTTTTCGATCATCATGAACCTGTGCCGGGATTTTTACGAGATCCTAAGGGTTCTGGACCTGCATCGATCAAGCTGTAAGGGCGGAATCTCTCGCTGCCGTATTCCTACGAGCATCAACTCGCCGGAGGACTTTAAGCGCCTTGCTTTGCAATCATTTGTGCTGATGCAGGGGCACAAGGACATTGTTGTGGACACAGTGAAAAATGTGTGCGACTTCTTTATTCCCCTGACAGCGCTTGGCTACACAAGTCTCACGCCTCGGACAATAGGTCTCCTGGGAGCGATTTCGTCATTGGCCGGTCTCTGGGCTTTGCTAGAACCGCGGGCCAAGCTAACGCCTGCATAACACCTGATATTGGCAGCCTTGTAGATAGGGCCCCCATTTCCTTGTATCTATTTTAATTGTTGTACTGTATATGTATTTGTGATTGGATTAAGTTGAAAGATAAACGAAACGAACGATTTTATGAAGCCCCACCTTGCACTCATTTCCCCTTGTAAGCGTTCCGGGCCGAATGGCAAACAGCTGGTGCCATTTCTGTCGCTGCGAATGACACATTTCTACGGATGTGTTTTTTTTGTTTAGTGTGCCCTTTATCAAACGCCTTTTGGCTAATGGTCCGCAGTCCGGTGGCGTTATCAGGAATTTGACGAGGCCGATGCGTCACCCGTGCGTGGGCAGCATCTGGACACCATGAACTACTCCTATTCAGCGCTGTCGCCTGGGGGCGGAGGATTCGGTGGCGTCGACCAGCACAACCGATGTTGCGGGAACAGGGCTTGGTGCGTCAAGGACATCTGCGGCATTGTCTGCGTGGTAATGACCTGGCTTCTCATCCTATTTGCGGAGTTCGTGGTCATGCGTCTAATTCTTCTGCCCAGCAACTACGCGGTCTTCAGCACCATCAACATGATAATATTCCAGGCACTAGCCTTTCTTGCATTTGCCTCGCACATACGCACAATGTTGTCGGATCCGGTGAGTGGAAGCGTTATCCGTAAAATAAACCGACTGAAGTTACAATTAAATTTATTTATAGGGCGCAGTACCTCGAGGAAATGCCACTAAGGAGATGATAGAGCAAATGGGCTATCGTGAGGGTCAGATGTTCTACAAGTGCCCTAAGTGTTGCAGTATCAAGCCGGAGCGAGCTCATCACTGCTCCGTTTGCCAACGATGCATTCGTAAGATGGACCACCACTGTCCGTGGGTCAACAATTGCGTGGGCGAGAATAATCAAAAGTACTTTGTGCTCTTTACCGTAAGTGCAGTGCTCTTACTAATCTAGCCTCCCGGTTAATTGCTTGTTCACTCCCTAGTTTTACATAGCTTCGATCTCTGTGCACACACTCTTCCTGGTGCTCACCCAGTTCGCGGAGTGCGTAAAAAACGACTGGCGCACCTGCTCGCCGTACTCTCCGCCGGCCACTATTTTCCTGTTGCTCTTTCTCACCTTCGAGGGCCTCATGTTCGGTATATTTACCATAATCATGCTGGCCACTCAGCTGACGGCCATCCTAAACGATCAGACGGTGGGTGCCTTGCTGCCTCTCTGCTTGGGATTCTCCGAATAACTTTCTCACCAAAATCTCTCATCAACAGGGCATCGAGCAGCTGAAGAAAGAGGAGGCCCGCTGGGCCAAAAAATCGCGCCTCAAGAGCATCCAGTCGGTGTTCGGACGCTTTTCGCTGGCTTGGTTTTCGCCATTCACGGAACCGTCTTGTCGCACAAGATTCAACTCGCACTTCTACTCGGTCTGAGAAAAGGAACCGGAATATGGATTAACTTAATCGAACAATACTAACTAACAAACGTACAAGGGCAACAAGTTGCCGCCACTTGTTGCACCGCTGAGTGCAATTTTGTATTTTGCAATTGCTATTTTTCGATCAATTGTCAACTATATTTACTACCAATCATATGTGTGTGTGTTAAGGCCCAAGCAAAAGGATAAATGTTTATTGCCTTAGCCAGGTGGAGATTTGTACTTACCTGAGAGACCTACTAAATGTTTTGTGTTTATTTATTATTGGGTGAGAGTCCGAACGTCAGAAGACATGCGCGGCATCTCTGATCATCATCTTCAGGAGAGCTCTCTCCGGTCTGGGGGCAGCCAAAATTATCCGACATCCGACATGGACAGGCGAGGCTGTTGCTGATCTGTCTGCTCAGTTCAGTTCAGTTCAGTCTGAGAAAAACGATCGGAGATCCAGGAGGTGTCTGCTGGACGTGGTGTGCGCCATTCGAACGCCGATGCTGTGTTGTACATATTGTTTATATATAGAAAGATAGAACATCTCTGTTCCCCAAAACGTGAGTGTGAGTGTGTGTGCGAGTGTCTGGTGGATTTCAAATTGGAATTGAATGAGGAATACGTGTATATCCGCTGCACCAGCACAGTTTCAAATAATGCCACAGGCCGAAAATGTGAATATATCCTAATTACACATTTACCGATCCATTGTGCCCGACGAATACGCGTAATTACCAGCGGAAAATTTCATTTCAGTGAATCGGAAACGGAAAAATTCAAATTTCTACCATCGTTTGTGTGCGGCGCGTTCTAAATATAAATAAAAAGAAATCGCTTTCGGTTAATGCCGCACTGAAAATTCGCAGCCGACAATACTGCGCCCTAATCCTACCCAACAAGTCCTGAAAAGTCCCATGCCAAAGTGGCCCTGTTTCGGCTAATTATATAGTGAGACCTGAGCATGGAAAGATCGCCAGCAGCCAATGCCGCGGGTAAGAATCAGCGTGCGAGTTCCCCGGCGCCGGGAAAGTGAGAGATTCTCCTTTTTTCGTTCCCGGTCCCGAACAAAGTACTTTATGGCTATTTGTGTGTATTTTTACGACCTGCCACGGGCTCCGTCTCCGTTTTTCCCCTTCTTCGCCACTGTACGGCCACAGTGCGGTTACGTAATTGTGATTTGAGTATGAGAAATTTTCATAATTGTACGTTGGAATATGTGCTGGTCTAGTGTCATTATTGTGGCCGCATCCCGGCGATGACCGAGCCATTCCCAACAGCCGAAATACTATTTACGAATCACTTTTGATTACGGCTCCCCATGCAGAAAGATTCGACAAGCTCACAAATAGTGCCTGATGGCGTATGAATAATATTTGGAACTATTTTTAGTGAATGTTCCGAATACTCGATAGTTGGTGCAGGGTATGGCGATGTGCACGGGACAAAATAACTTTATGGTGTAAACATAAGCATTATAGGTCAAAGACTGGAATATTCATTAGGATCTATTTGTGAAATAATAATAGTACATTTTGTTTTTAATTTATAATAGATTTTGTATTCGTAATAGGTTTTTGTGTAAATCGCCTAAACTCTCCTTTAAATTAGTAACTCCTGTTAATTAGGAATTTGAAAGTCCAGATTAGATATGTTGCATACCTAAAATAATAATTTAGTATTTCCCTAAGAATCGCACAACAATTTTTATCAATACAAATCCTAATAAAATGTACCTCTTATTTAAAAAACTTTAATAAAGCTTTATAATCTTAAGGGGTTATATACCTTTTTGAGCGAAAAAAATGAGGGAACTTTGGATTTTTTTTCAGGTGTGTAGCAATTATTTTATGATACTGAGGTTATTATTTATTGATAGTACATGTTTTTATAGACACAACAAACGTTTGTTCTCAAAAAAATATAAATAACTTTCGAAGTTATGGCAATTCTCTCATAACCCTTTTTTTGTTATAGCGGCTTGCGGTGACCACGATGGAAGTCCAGCGGGTCAACTTAAATCAATAAACCAAAAAATTTTTATTAGTTTAGTATTATTTCTAGTTCGTCATTGAATTACTTCAAGAATATTTGGTTTTTTCTGCATACAGTAACAATTTTTTCAAAAAATTGATTTTTCGAGCTCTAAAAATTTTATTAAAAATTTCTTAACTGCAAAATCGAAATTGCCGCAGAAAAACTGATTCAATGGCGAACTCGGCACAATCATTACGAATGTTTTAAAAAAAATTGAAGAAGATCGATCAAATAGTTCTTGTGCAATCGCGGTCACAGCAAATGCACTTTTGGAAAAAAACGACTTTGAGATAATCGCATTCAAAGTTTTACGTTGCGTTACAAAGAGTGACGAACCGCGCCTCAAAACGCTGTTTTCCTATTGAACTATTATTCGGATCTCTTCAAAAATTTGGGAAAATGTTCTCTAGGGGATATACTTTAGGATTCAGCTAAAAAAAATTTTTCGTTTTTTTGAAAAAAAAAGGTATATAACCCCTTAAACAAACTTGATTTTTGAAATTTTTGTTTTGAACTTCAAACTGCCTCCAATCAGAACGAAAATTTTAAAGTTTTAAACTAGAAACTTTATTTCTGCTAATAAATCTTGATTAGGGTATCCTTCTGGCGATTTGATTTTATATTTCTACTCTCAGCCTTTGATGCCGGCATAACTATGTGTGTTTATGTCTGGCAATTCTTGACATTTCGCAAATATTTATGATAATTTGTTCGGCGGGCGACTTTCTCCGCCTTTAAAACTTATAAAGCGATTAGTCATGCTTATAATTAACGCACTATATTACCCCGTTTTGTAGAACCTCCTGGCCAGGATGGAGAACTCGAGGCGGTTCAGCGCCCACCGCCCCGAATCACATTTAGCGAAAACTCCAGCTCCCTGATCCGCTGCATCCCCAACGAACGTGCCACGTTCTTCGTGAAAATCGACTGCGCCGAGGAGGATGAGCCGGAACTGCTGCCCTTCAAATTCGAATGGTAAGTCATAAATCTTTCAGAGCAGAAATCTATTTTTCCTTCGCTTACCTGTGCACTCGGTGCGTGAATCATCGTCCTTGCTCCTCCGCCCGGTCTGCTGTGCATAATGCCAAAAATTTGCGCATTAACATATGATTTCTCCTTCACGGCGACGGATTTGCTCAATTGAGCAGGTCGAGAGCAGATCCACCGGCGTCTGCGCCGCCAAAAGAGCAATGGTACATCTCTAGGTTCCCAGATTTCTCTGGTTTTTGTTGTACGGGCTCTTGAGCAGTCAGTTTCACTTTGACGATCGGCGCATTAACATATCCGTTGCCCAGCGGGCGGACATCAAGAATCGCAGCAGCGGCAGTGCTATACGAGAGTTCTATATATACACCACACTGCGTATACGTACTGGTTCGTGGAATCTGGGGGTGTCCACGCGGCGGATACTCAATAAATCACCAGTGAATCGAAATCAATCAGCTTACGCGAGAATTCCTGAGGGACTCCGCCTAAAATTGGGTCCCAGCACCTGGTGGAAGCGGGTGGCGGGATAGCTGGCCGAGATCTGTAAAGAACGTCTAATTATAGCCGCATTAACAAATCGCTGGCAGTCGCGTCTGCGGAACTTTCGTCTGCCGTCGAAACTTTGTCTTTTGGGAAAGGAATTTCGGTGCTGTGCGTCAAAAACATTTCCATTTAATGCCCAAAAAGTGTTGAAAATACTTTTTCTCAAACGAAATCGAAAATTACATAATGCGCCTGGCGGTGAAACAAAGAGGAACAAGTAGAGATTGTGCGATCGGTTCGGTCAGATGTTTGGCAATATCCGCGAGAGCAACAGATAAATAAATAAACTGATTCTGGGCCCCCGAAGAACAACAGACACATGAAAAGGAAACAAGAAACAATTTGAAAATTCTCGATCTCGGGGAAAACGACAGCGAAACAACAAGTTATTAGCGCTCAACATCAAAAACACGCAGCCCAAAAATAAATTGGCAAACGCGTTGTTGTCTAGCTAGCGTTTAAATTATTGCAGTCCGCGGTTTGTGACTAGTGAAGTGGCCGAATGCGAATACAATTAATAGCGAAGCAAGTTCAAGCATTTATTTATAAACATTCTTGCTTCGGTTCAGAAATATTTTGGTCAATTTTCTCTTTTAGAAAATTGTTGTTATTGTTCTCGTGCGGTGATGCTGGCGGTGTTTGTTTGTTTCTGTTTATTAGGCAATGATTATGCCACATAAATTAATGACTCTTACGCCTTAAATGTTTCGGTAAATGTTTGCACGTGCAATCTGGTAATTAAAATAACAGATTCATAAATTGAAAAAATTCAAGAGTATTAAAGATACAAAAAGAACAATCACTTTGAAAACTAATAAACATATTTATTACTTTTTGACATCGAGTGACTTAATTATTGTACAGCATACTCCTAATTTGGATATTTTAATTTTTGTTACTTTAAGTCGACTATTTAGTATTCAATATTCTTTCTCCTTCAAGATGTAAAAATCACGAATTTTTAAGCAATTGGAGAATTTAATAATGAAATAAGTTTAACATTCCGTGGGGCTTAAATTTGAAAATATTTCTGCTGCTAACTGCAACCGATCGTATTTCGGATTAATATAAGAAAAACGCCATGGGCAACGGATGTTCGAAATGCTGCCAGTGCAACGAGCACAAGCAAATCAACGGCACACTCTCCTCGGCCTCGTCGGTCTACAGGAAAAGGTGATGATTATCCAAGTTGATTTCTATAAGGAATAAAATGTCTTTGCCAAGCTTACCGTGTTTCCCTTGGCCACTCTTCTGGGTGTCCCCTAACATTCGTGTTCTTCCAGGAGCCGGGGAGAGATTCCCATCGAGAATTCCGACCGCTTCCGCATCACGGCCACCAGCAACGCTGTCCAGTTGGCGGTGGAGCATGTGCAGCGGGAGGACGCCGGCCACTACACGCTGTTCGCCAGGACGAAGAGCCAGGATGTGGTGCGCAGGCACGTGGAGCTCATCGTGGAGGACAGATCCACGGGCGACGATCCGCCGGTGTTCCTGCGCCGCCTGCTCGACCTCTCCGTCAAAGTGGGCACCCGGACACGCCTCCTCACCGAAATTCGCAGTTCCACAGATCTTAAGGTGAGTGAAGATTGATTTATTTGGAAATATCAAAGGGATAAACCTACTCGTAAAACAATAGGAATTAATTAAATGTTAATTTAAATAGAACATATTAATAATTATTTTGTATATCTCTTTGGATTAGCTAACTTGGTACAGAAACGACCGGAGGGTGTGTGCGAACGATCGCATCACGGAGATCAACGAAGGTACCTTCCATTATCTGGAGGTGAGTCCAGTAACTCTGGATGACGGTGGTCAATGGATGCTTATGGCGGAGAACTTTGGCGGACGCAACTCCTGTATTGGAACGCTCAACGTCCTCGTGCCGAAGGCCTACAAGACACCTGAATTCGTGGAGGAACTGCGCGCCGTGCTCACGGAGCAGGGAACCGTCTCCCTGGAGTGCAAGGTGGTGGGAGTGCCCACGCCCCATTTGCGCTGGTTCAAGGACTCCAAGGAAATCAAGGCTGGAGACATCTTCGCTCTGACGGCCAACGCAGACGATCCCACTTCACTGGGCACGTACACCTGCGAGGCCCGCAACTGCATGGGTGTCACCTACTCCAGCTCCAAGGTGCATGTCGTGGGTCGGGGCAGTCGCGAAGGATCCCTCAAGCCGGCGGACAGGTGAGTCACTCCCTTTAAATTGTATTATTAACACCCTTATACTGGAAATGTGAAGAATAGATTATAAATAATATTATATTTATAAAACTAACAATATGTTTATTGACACACTTATTCATCAAACACAAAAGAATATGCCTTTGTGAGGGAATCCCCCTTTAAGAGACCACCGACTGCCATTAAATCTCTTCCAAATGTTTCCTGTCTTTTCGCAGCGTGGCGAGCAATGCGCCGCCTCCGATATTCACGAACGAACTGAGGGACATGAGCCTGCTCATCGGAGAGACTATCATTCTCGGCTGTCAAGGTGAGTAAATCAGAGTCTTGTTGATCGGAGAAGATCCCCTCCGTTGGCAGTGGGCCAACTTATTTTTGTTTATCTTCTCTCGGACAACATTTGCTCCAATTCTCGCCGGCGCTTGTTGTTTTTAGATCGTGCTATAGAAACTTGAACTCGATCGCACGGCCGGAATGCCTCGAATGTTGAGGTGGGTCATCAACATTTGCGGCAAGTGGCGAGCAAAACAAAACCGCTAATTGCCCGTCAGAGAGAGAGGAAATAACGAAAAGATCTTTTGAGATCGAGAGGCAGAGATCAGCGTTTTGAGTATTGTTTACATGATCTCACGAGAGTTTTCTCTATTTCCCCCAGTTGTTGTGCCGCCGTGGCCCAAAAGCGTCTGTTGGTACAATGCTAACGGGCGGGTGGAGACCGCCGAGCGGTACAAACTGATCGAGGATGGACTCGGAGTCTATATGATCGAGGTTAAGCCCTCGGAGTCCTGCGATGCCGGCGAATGGAAGTGCGTGGTGACCAGTTTCGATGGCAGTGTGGGCATGACCTCGTGTTCCGTGGCCATGGACAGTGAGTGATCCTTGAATCCCTTAAAGCAGATTAACTCATGGTCTCTTTTTTTCAGTTCCGAGGAACTATCGAAAGCCCAGATTCATGGAGAATCTGCGAGCTGTGCTCACCGAGGAAGGACTTGTGTCCTTCGAGTGCAAAGTGGTGGGCTTTCCCACTCCCGTGCTGAAGTGGTTCAAGGATGGGCACGAACTGAAGCCGGGAGATGTCTATCAGCTCACGGGAACCAATTCCCTGGGCACCTACTGTTGCATTGCCCGCAATTGCATGGGAGAAACCAGCAGCACTGCCGTTCTCACCGTCGAGGACATCCAGAACCAGCTTACCGAAGAGGAGCGTCTCGTCTTCACCCAACAAAACCAAAACCAGGCGCCAAAGTTTCTCACTGGCCTGAAGAGCACGGATGCCAAGATCAACGAACCCTTTCAGTTTAGGGTGGTGGTGAAGGCCACTCCGGATCCCATTCTTTCTTGGTTCCGGGACGAGCTGCCCATTGAGCCGAACGAACGATACAACCATTACCGCGGAGAAAACGAGGACTGGTTGCTGGACATCAAGACCGTGGAGTTTGTGGACCAAGCGGAGTGGAAGTGCGTGGCTGTCAATGATTTTGGCACCAGCATCACATCCTGCTTCCTCAAACTGCAAATACCGCGGCACTACAAGAAACCCCGATTCCTGGAGTGCCTGCGGGCTGTGCTCACCGAGGAAGGAGCCGTGAATCTGGAGTGCAAGGTCATCGGTGTTCCTCAGCCAGCTCTGAAGTGGTACAAGGATGGTGTGGAGCTGAAGCCAGGTGATATCCACCGGATTATTTCCGGACAGGATGGCACCTGCTGCTTGGGTACTTATACCTGCGAGGCCAGGAATTGCATGGGCGTGGTGGCCAGTTCTGCCTCGCTTTTGGGATTCGAGGATGCCCAGAAGGGTCAGCAGCAAAAAAGCGAGCAGCTACAACAGAACGAACTGCAAAGAGACTTCTCCTTGTCCACAATCCAAGAGGAACGCACATCCCAGCTGTACGAAACTCCTGTGGGTGACATAACCATCGATGAAAAGGGCGACGTGTCCTTCTCCTTCGACGGGAAGGAGGTCTCGGTTTCCCTTTACGAGACACCCGATCTCACCGAAGAGGAGGCCCTCAAAATTGTGGAAATGTACGCTGATCAAATCTCCGAGCATGTCACTGAGCACAATATTGTAGAACTGCCGCCGTTGCGATTCGTAAAGGAGACCTCGCAGTCGGGAAAACTCCTGATGGAAGCTGTGGTCATCGATATTTCACCCGAGTACTTCACAGTTGAAGAAGACATGCGCACTGAGGCTGATATGGATGACATATCCATAAACGAGATCACGGTGCATGGTACATCGGATAGGGAATCCAGAGTCGACAAGGAGACGGAGCAGTATGTCCAGGAGTCCTTCGAAAAAATGGAGGAGGAGTTATCGCTCTCCGCTCCGATTCGCAAGCGCAAGAAGTCTAAACCTACAGAAACCGATGAATTCTTCAGCTTGTCCAAAGCCTCGGGCAGTCAAGGCGAAGAGGAGACATCCGAATTGCAGACCTTTGCCAGTGCCCAGATGTCTGCCTCCCAAAAGGTTGTTTCTGAATCTCAAGCCAGCCCGGAAAAGGAGAAGGATTCAATGGCTCCACCGAAAAGAAAGAAGTCCAAGAAACCAACAGACAGCGATTCTTCAAAGACCACTGAGGATGAAGCTCGTTTGCAGGACATTTCGGGTGCAGTCGGCGATGGACTTCTGGTCACTCCATCCTCTCATGCCAAAGCAATTACAGATGAGAATGAGATAAACAGGAATCTAATGGCCCTCGTTCCGCTGGCCAAGTTGCTTAAAGTAATCGAGAATCACTTGACCGCAGTTGAGAATGAAGTGATGGAACAGTCCACCATGATGATGACTCCATCGGCTGCCGATCAGAGCATTGCCATCATTCGCAACATCATAGATCCCATCAAGCAAATTGAATCCAAACTAAGGGTTTACTCCGGGGAGACCCAAATCGATGTGCTTATTCAATCCATGGACGAGGACATTCGCCGACTGCACATGGGCTTGCAGGTGATTGAAAAATGTGTGGAGATTGACGAGACAGGAGCAACCTTAATTCAACGCACCAGTGTCTGCATTATTGACAGTGTGGCCGACCAAATGAAACGAGCTCTCGAAGAGCTGAAGATTGTGAGCAAGAAATTCGACTCCGAATGCCTTCGTGCCCAAATTGAACTGACTGCCGATGACATTCAACAGGGATTAGAAATCACTCAGGGCACAATCAAGTCGCAGGCTCTTTTGCAGGAGGCTCAGGAACTGGAGGCAGCGAAGCACTTCTCAGAAACTGTGGAAAAAATGCAGGAAGTGCCCGATTCCATTTCTTTCGCCACCATTTCGGAGGCCAATCTGCCCAGTGAAGCAAGTGCTCTAAAGGAGATCTGCCAGCCAGTGGCTAAGATACAAGAGGCCCTGGAACGCGTTGAGATGGAGCTCTCGTTGGAGGAGTCGGAGGAGCAGATCTACAAGAAGGTGCACCAGAAAGTGCTCGAGAGCATTGTGGAGCCAATAAAACAGCTGCAAAACACTCTGCAGTCCATTGAAGATAAGACAGAATCCTTGGCGGGCTCCGAATCTATGGAGCAGAAGATCAACATGGCCATTCTGGATATCGTCACCCCACCACTCTTTGAGCTCAAGAAGGGCTTGGAGGTAATCCTCAACGAGAAGTCAGACAGTGTGGAGGGAGGCATGCTGACCGTCAGCACTGTGGAATCGATGGTGCCACCTCTGCAGGAAATTCAGAATGGTCTGGCTCAGTTGGGTCAGGATCTGGAAAGTGGCCAGGCCTCCATTCCCCAGGAGGAACTCCGATCTGAGCCAGCACTGGATGTAGCCGACACACAGAAGCTCTTGCAGTCATTTGCACAGGCAGTTTTGCATTTTGAGACGAACATTGAGAGGATCTCTCCGCGTCTCTCCTCCAACGTGAAGATACGTTTACTAAACCTGAAAGATGAACTCTCAGCTTTGATTAGCACTATTTTGGAAAGAGACATAACCGGCCATCATGTTGAGCTGCTGGATAGATTGAAGCGTCCTGTGGACGAGTTGAACTACTGCATTCGGCAGACAGAGGTCAAGAACATGACTGGTTCCCTGGCTGACCTGATTGAACCTTTGAGTATGTTGCAGGAAAACACCCAGAAAGGTCATGGGGGCATGCTCACAGCTCGGGAACCCGATCAGCAGGCTCTTCAAACCCTGGAAAACATTCGGGGCATTATTCGCAACGTAGTTATCGACATAGAAGAGCACGAGTTTAAGATTCTTCAGCAGGAGATCCAACAGGACGAGGAGCAAGCCTCGCAGCAGCAGGATAAATCCTTCAGTGCCTTGCGAAAGGTCCTGGAAACAAAGGTGTCTCTAGAGGAAGCAGTAGGCAATATTGAAACGCTCCAGGAAGCTCTAAACAAAATAAGTGAAAGCCCCAAAGCGACTGAAAGAGTGAAAGTCTCCTCAAACGAAGCCCAAGTTCACCTCTTGCGTATCCTGCAAATTGCCAAGGGACTAGCTACATTCAGCGAGGCTGAAACAACACTCGATGTTAACGAGGCCAACACAACCAGGATTCTATTCGAGTGTGGCAAAAGTTTTGCTGACTTGGCTAAAGCCCTGGGCAGTCCAGAATCTCTGTCCGAGAATGAGTTTTTGAGTGCTCTGAATCAGTTTGGCGATATTGTTGGCCAACAGAAGGAAACGTTGGATGAGAAGCTATCCATAGCTAGTCCTCTCTCCAGCCTGATTCACGTGCTGGAAAACCTAAAGCCCCTTAAAGCCTCTCTGGAGGATCTGTCCACTCTGGACGATGTGTCAGTGCTTAAGTCAGCCGCAGAGTCTTTGCCCACTGAACCGGAGGGGGGAACCCGTGAGTGCCGAGAAGCCCTCGCCTGTAAATATCCTGCTTTCGGATCTGAACCAGGGCATTACTTCGGTTCTTTCCCACTCCGAAGATCCTGATGTGGTCTCTCTGTCTGGACCTGCTGCCCAACAAGTTCAGGCTGCTCTTATCAAAATGCATGAACTCCAGAACAGTTTGGCACTGGTTCAGGAAACCAACGTCGTGGAAGCAGCCCATCCTTTATCGGAGGCCAGTCAGCAGGGAACCTTTGCCGAGGCCCTTTGCAGCTTGGAGCAATGTGTTCTTCAGGTGGAGGAGTGCATGGCCCACAGTGGAGTGGAGAGCTTAACCGATCTTGAGCTGTCGAAGCTCAAGACATTGGCCTCTCCACTCCGCGATGTTAGGGAGCACTGCGAACAGATCGATGTACAACTTCTGGAGAACGTCAATGATATATCCACTCAAGGAGACATCTCTGAATTGAAGAGCAGTGGTCATCAGCAAACCGTTTCAGACCATATCCAGGAAGTAGCTGTAGTGGAGCAAGAGCCCAAAGTGGAAGTGTTCGATATACAGCAGGGTGTGGCAAGTGGCATTAAGCAGCTTGAGGCTTGTCTAGAGGTAACCCAAACGGATTCCAACAAGGAGCTCCAGCTGGTGGGAAAAATAATGGAGCAACTGAAGTCAGATCTGGAAAACATACAGGCCGCCCTTGTTACGGATAGTGACCAACAGGAAACTGTTCTGGCACAAGCTCAGATAGCACGCACCATGTTCAGACTGAAGGAGTCCTTGGTACACACTTATGAATCTGGCCTGGTAGATTCTTTGGAAAATGTGGAGAGTGCTTTCGAAGACATACTGCTTTCATTACCAATTCTGGAGACCCAGTTGGCGGAGGAAATGTTTGGCAAAATCGAAAAGGCCTTTACCAACTTTGTTGTTTACTGCGAGAATCTAAAAGCTGTTGATCATCAGCAGTTGCAGACCCTCAAGAATCCTATTGAAAACCTTGTGACTTCCATTGGAGCTGTGGCTGCCCAACCAACTGTGGATGTCGATAAATCATCAGCAGTTGTGGTTCAACTTCAAACCAGTCTGATGGCTGCTTTCAGGAGTCTAAACGAAGTCAGCGAAAAAGTCAGCAATGAACTTTTGGGTAGTCTACTGAAGACCCAAAGTAGCTTGGTCACTGTCTTTGATTTCATTGAGAATAATGAGAACACCATTCGTGTCATAGAGCTTCTTCAGGAAATCGACTCCATTTCTGCAGAATTAAAAGCATTATCTGAAATTCCAGTTGAACCTACAGTACCCATCGATATAAGCGTAATTATAGAAAACGTTTCGTCGGGCAAAGCGTTCCTTACAGAAATCGAGGAAGGACTGAAAGTCAATAATCCCCAGTGCATTCTTTTGCTGGATGAGAACACTGACGATATCGCTCAGCTAGAGGCAACTCTAGTGCAAATTGAGAAAGAAATCCTTTCCCAACCGCAGCTTACTCAGATAACCGCAAAGCAGTTCACTCTCATCGATGCTCTGCAGCTGCAGATTAATAATCTTCAGGAGAAGTTAAACAAATTTAACGTGTTCCTTTCAGAACTCCAAAGTCAATCGGACATCTCTTTCCCTGAATCCGCTGTGGAAACTGACGTCGATATCAAAGAGAGTTCGGGAAGCCAGAAAGAACCTGAAGCTAAAAGACCAAAACTTTTAGCTTCTGAAGAAACACCCGAAGATGCTACTAAGAAACCAAAGGAAGCGGAGCCCAAACTTCAACCCAAGGACAAGTCAATTGAGGAGAAGGAAATCCAACAGATTGGTGAGCCAAAGTTAGATGCGAAAAAACCAAACAAGGATGTAAGTGATGCCGAAGAGGTTAAGAGTGTTTCTCAAAAGATAGAACAAGAAGAAAAGGCATCTCCAGAAACGATTCTAGTGGCTTTAACGGAAAAGTTATCCCAATCTCTGAGCAATGATTTAAATAATGATGCATTGAAGTCTATTATTACGGAGAGCCAAGACATTCTTGACAACATAAATAACATCGACAAAGTATCGAAATCTATATTCAAGCTAAGAGAGCACATCGTTCATACTTATGATTGCAAGCCTCCAGAGGAGCAGAAGGACAAGGAACTTCTCGAAGAACTTATTGAATCACTTCTGGAAGCCAGTCCTGAAGCCACAGAGCAAGTAATCCAAAACTATATGAAGGAAATAAAAACCAACATAATTCTAACAAAAGCAGCGATTCAACTTATCGACGACAGCAACTTGTTTACAAAGCCCTCTCTTCTAGTTCCAAAATTAGTTAATCTGGAAAAAATTTTAGAAAAAATTCAATCGGAACAACATGTTGATAAATCATCTGAAAAAATGATTAGCTTGCAGCAGAATTTGATGGACATTTTTATTATACTTGATGACCTCCTAGATGAAAAGACGGAACAAATTAATCCCAAGATAGAAGAAATCAAAAAAATACTGCTAAGTGAATATGACTATATTGAGAAAAAACAGGGTGAGCTGCATACAGCGGTTATACATGGAAAAATACAAATAATAACTCAAAAGATTCTTAACATTTGTGAAGATTTTAAGGACTTTATAGAAACGCAAAACAATAAACAAGCAGAGCAAGTAACAGGGGACACTGTTGACTACCAAAAATCCGAAATTTCAGAAGAATCTAAGGAAAAGCAAGCCAGCAAGGATATTGAACTTCAATCCCAGAAACCAGAAGTATCTGAGGTCGTTGCAGAGAAGATATCTGAAGAAAAGATTGGCGAAGCCAAGAAGCCGGAAGTTAAGGAAACCGAAGCCAAATCGGAGAAGGCCAAGGAACTGGAAAAACAGATCCTGGAAGAAAAACAACTGGAAGCTGAGGCACAAAAGCAAGCCGACAAGGATGTTGAACTTCAATCCCAGAAACCAGAAGTATCTGAGGTCGTTGCAGAGAAGATATCTGAAGAAAAGATTGAAGAAGCCAAGAAGCCAGAAGTTAAGGAAGCAGAAGCCAAATCAGAGAAGGCCAAGGAACTGGAAAAACAGATCCTGGAAGAAAAACAACTGGAAGCTGAGGCACAAAAGCAAGCCGACAAGGATGTCGAACTTCAATCCCAGAAACCAGAAGTATCTGAGGTTGTTGCAGAGAAGACATCTGAAGAAAAGATTGAAGAAGCCAAGAAGCCGGAAGTTAAGGAAGCAGAAGCCAAATCGGAGAAGGCCAAGGAACTGGAAAAACAGATCCTGGAAGAAAAACAACTGGAAGCTGAGGCACAAAAGCAAGCCGACAAGGATGTCGAACTTCAATCCCAGAAGCCAGAGGTATCTGAGGTCGTTGCAGAGAAGATATCTGAAGAAAAGATTGAAGAAGCCAAGAAGCCTGAAGTTAAGGAAACCGAAGCCAAATCGGAGAAGGCCAAGGAACTGGAAAAACAGATCCTGGAAGAAAAACAACTGGAAGCTGAGGCACAAAAGCAAGCCGACAAGGATGTCGAACTTCAATGCCAGAAGCCAGAGGTATCTGAGGTCGTTGCAGAGAAGATATCTGAAGAAAAGATTGAAGAAGCCAAGAAGCCTGAAGTTAAGGAAACCGAAGCCAAATCGGAGAAGGCCAAGGAACTGGAAAAACAGATCCTGGAAGAAAAACAACTGGAAGCTGAGGCACAAAAGCAATTCGACAAGGATGTCGAACTTCAATCCCAGAAGCCTGAGGTATCTGAAGTCGTTGCAGAGAAGATATCTGAAGAAAAGATTGAAGAAGCCAAGAAGCCGGAAGTTAAGGAAGCAGAAGCCAAATCGGAGAAGGACAAGGAACTGGAAAAACAGATTCTGGAAGAAAAACAACTGGAAGCTGAAGCACAAAAGCAAGCCGACAAGGATGTCGAACTTCAATCCCAGAAACCAGAAGTATCTGAGGTCGTTGCAGAGAAGATATCTGAAGAAAAGATTGAAGAAGCCAAGAAGCCAGAAAATAAGGAAGCAGAAGCCAAATCAGAGAAGGCCCTGGCATTGGAAAAACAGATCCTGGAAGAAAAACAACTGGAACCTGAGGCACAAAAGCAAGCCGACAAGGATGTCGAACTTCAATCCCAGAAACCAGAAGTATCTGAGGTCGTTGCAGAGAAGATATCTGAAGAAAAGATTGAAGAAGCCAAGAAGCCAGAAAATAAGGAAGCAGAAGCCAAATCAGAGAAGGCCCTGGCATTGGAAAAACAGATCCTGGAAGAAAAACAACTGGAACCTGAGGCACAAAAGCAAGCCGACAAGGATGTCGAACTTCAATCCCAGAAACCAGAAGTATCTGAGGTCGTTGCAGAGAAGATATCTGAAGAAAAGATTGAAGAAGCCAAGAAGCCGGAAGTTAAGGAAGCAGCAGCCAAATCAGAGAAGGCCCTGGCATTGGAAAAACAGATCCTGGAAGAAAAACAACTGGAAGCTGAGGCACAAAAGCAAGCCGACAAGGATGTCGAACTTCAATCCCAGAAGCCTGAGGTATCTGAAGTCGTTGCAGAGAAGATATCTGAAGAAAAGATTGAAGAAGCCAAGAAGCCGGAAGCTAAGGAAGCAGCAGCTAAATCAGAGAAGGCCCAGGCATTGGAAAAACAGATCCTGGAAGAAAAACAGCTGGAAGCTGAGGCACAAAAGCAAGCCGACAAGGATGTCGAAATTCAATCCCAGAAACCAGAAGTATCTGAGGTTGTTGCAGAGAAGACATCTGAAGAAAAGATTGAAGAAGCCAAGAAGCCGGAAGTTAAGGAAGCAGAAGCCAAATCAGAGAAGGCCCTAGCATTGGAAAAACAGATCCTGGAAGAAAAACAACTGGAAGCTGAGGCACAAAAGCAAGCCGAGAAGGATGTCGAACTTCAGTCCCAGAAACCAGAAGTATCTGACGTCGTAGCAGAGAAGATATCTGAAGAAAAGATTGAAGAAGCCAAGAAGCCTGAAGTTAAAGAAGCAGAAGCCAAATCAGAGAAGGCTCTGGCATTGGAAAAACAGATCCTGGAAGAAAAACAACTGGATGCTGAGGCACAAAAGCAAGCCGACAAGGATGTCGAACTTCAATCCCAGAAACCAGAAGTATCTGAGGTCGTTGCAGAGAAGATATCTGAAGAAAAGATTGAAGAAGCCAAGAAGCCGGAAGTTAAGAAAGCAGAAGCCAAATCAGAGAAGGCCCTGGCATTGGAAAAACAGATCCTGGA